CACCTAGCCCAGAGTCTGGTCCATCTCTTCCCAGCACCTCCTGTGACTCCACACCCCTCACTTCACTCACCGTGTGGCTTGAGAAAGACCTGCAAACCCTCTAAAGGTGCTTGATGGCAGTTTGCTTGTCCTAACAGAGACTTGATTTTTATTATTTTATTTTACTCATTTTTATTTTTATTTATTTGGGTAATTTTTACCCCATCCAATACCCAGTGGGTCTCAGGACAGCTCACAGTTCAAATCCCATAAATACCCAAATAATACAGTATAAATGATTCACAAACTGAGCATAAAAGCACAGTTTAAATTAAACATTAAAAGTACGGAAGAATAAAAAGCTCTTGACCTGGTGCCAAAAAGTATATAACGTTCGCGCCAGGCAGACCTCTGAAATTCCTTCCCACTCAGTGGCGCTCACTGCTTCTCTGAAACATCCACCTTCACTCTAAAACCCCTGAGTGTTTCAGTGGAGGGTGTGTTTCCGAAAGGACGACAGCTGGGCGGAGCGATCGCTGGCCACGCAGCCTGGGCCACGGCGCGGTGCCTCTCCCCCGCCACCAGCCTCGCCATTGTCTGGGCCAGAATGGAAGCCCGTGAGCAGGCCGGGAGCCATGGGGACAGGGGAACCACGCTTGGCAGCAAGCCCTGCTGGCGTGTGGGTCTGTCCGGGTCTGAGTCAAGGGCACCCAGAAAGAGAGGTGCTGGGATCCAGGCAACAGGACCCCGGGCAACAGAAATCCCGAGTCCAGCAGCAAGCCCAGTCGTCGTCGCAGAAGGGGCCAAGGTGAGAAACTGGGAGTGTGCTGCAGCAGGGCAAGGTGTGGGCACCACAGGGAAGGTGCCCGTAAGGACAGGAGGAGGGCCAGGGTACCCTGGGGCAGGATAACAAGGCAGGGCCAGGAGCAGTGAGAGGAGGAAGCAGGGCGAGGCGAGGCAGGATCAAGCGAAGGTCTGGCAAGGCGCAGGCTCGGGAGACCTTCAGCTCTTCCCCAAGGCTCCTCTCACAAGTCTGGGGAGGGAGATCAGTCCTCCGTTCTCCCTTAATACAGCTACTGCACTTAATGCTGTTGATTTCCCAAAGCAGTGCGTAGTCACTGACTCACTCTTAGGGCTTGGAGCTAAACATAAAACGCTCCCCCATACATTACCTTAAACCAGTTGACACCATTAGTTGAAAAAAGAAACGCCACCACCTCAGACAAGGTCTCTAGTTTATTTTTTTAAACGAAACATCATTACAAAGTTGAAAAGAGCTATGAAATTGAAAGGGAAAACTCCATCACAAGCAGATGGAAAAAATACATTTTTAAAAAAGTTACTGACCTCTTGTACTCATGTGGGAAAAAGGCGGGCAGAGTGGAACTTGTAACACCCCCGTCACTTCATGTCCCAAAAGCAAAGAAAGATTTTCCTATACTTGATCTGAAAGTATTTTTGCATTTTTGCAAAAAGGTGCATTTTTGAGGCTCTGAGCTGTGCACTCGAACGAGAAAGCCCACGTAGGATCGTGCCAGGATCCCGTCCGCAGCAAAACGTCGTGTGGGGTCCATGCTGTCCCTTTCCAAGAATGGCAGTCGGACAGGCGGCTGTCATGGAGGAACATACACGGAGGCACGGCTGCAGAGCAGGGCTGACGGGGTCCTTTCTTGGCTGTGTTTGCTCATCTCCACGCAAAATCTAGTTTCTGGAAAGGGGAAAACAGCACCTCTTGGACTCTCCCTGGGTGTTTCATGACGCAGAAAAAGAGCCGGCGATCTTACTTTGGAGAGAGACGAGGGGTTTCCCTTGCAAATGGAAGCTGGACGGACGGATGCACCGCTCACGCTCTGGACTCCCACTGCCTGCTGTTGTTCCGTTTCTCCCTTCCAAGAGGGAGAACTTGGAAGGGCGGCAGCTAGAACTTCTGAAGGAATTTAAGGACCAGATCCTGCAGCTTCACCCGGAGTGCCTCATCGCTTTCGCACATGATGTGGGTCGAATCCTCCTCGATGCGAATGAGGGTTTCCACGTCCTGGAAGAGCACGATGTGCCCTTTCGGGGTGTCCTCCACCTTCACGTCGCTGAAGCCGTGCTGCAGTTGCCAGAGAAAGGAGAGCGTGAGAACGTTGTAGAAAGTAAGATACACCGCTGAATCCTACTCACCAGCACCTGAACATGGTGGTCCCGATTTGCTAGCTGCGCAGGATGCGTCCCCCTGATTGAGGGCACCCCTGATCAAGGATATGTGAGTCAGGAATACAAATGATGCCTTTCACATGTGACCATCACTGCCCGCTTCTTGGCACGCCACTGCAACCCAAGGGCCGGGCTCACTCTAACGTAACATGAAGGGGGCTGGAGGCCGGCAAACAGAGGTTTGCCAGTTCTCAGTGGCTCCCCGTGGAGCTGCATCAAGTCTAGGCATGGCTGGGGTGGCGCCTCCTACCCCGTTCTCTGTTACCTTCTCCAGCGTCTGCACCAGCTGGTCCACAGGGACGGAGCCGCTCAGGAGCGGCTTGACAGGTTTAATTTCTGGCACGTCTTCCGCCACCCTCTTCCTCTTCTTGCCGGGTTGAGGCTGCGGAGGCTTGGGGGGAAGCTGCAGGGAAAAGCATGTCATGGGAGGAGAGGATGTGGGAGAGGCAGGTAACCCTGCCGAAATCCAGCCCAGGAGCCCGACGCAGGTAGACAGGTGCGTCTCCAAAAATTTCGCCAGGGACCAGACAGCCAGACCCCTCGGTGTGGTGCTTGCTCACCAGTGGAGGAATCCTATTTCCGTGGCACGTCCCCAGCGGAAAAGGGGCTCCACTGGATTTTAGTGACTATGAGTGCCATTAAATTGGCCTCCCCCTGGAATCCGAGCACCTGGGGCGCCTTTGCCGAGCCCTCCCTTGTGCCCAGCCGCACCTGCAGGACGTGCTTGTTGTCCTTCGTATGCAAAACAGCCGTAACCGTTGCCAAGGAAATGCCCGGCTTCATCTCTGTCGGCACCAGTGAATCAGCGAGCTGGAGCAAAAAAGACGGTCAGCTTTAAAGAAAGGAAGTGCAGATCCAACCGAAGTTAGACGAATGTCACAGAACCGACAGAATGCGCGACAGGGACACTCGGAGAGAGACATTCCCACTGATCTCCCTCCGTGAAGCCGGAGCGTGCACGGACCCGGAAGCTCTCTCCCAGGAGAGTCGTTTGACAACCTAAAGGTCAGATGTCATAATTAGGGCATTAAAGTCTGGGCCTCCGTCATGGTTCAGGAAATGCAGCATCACAGGTTGGATGGATACATCGACCGTAAGGATATTGCCGCGAATTTCCGACTCTCGTATTGCTAGGAGACAACCTATCAGGATAAATTCCTGGCGGAATATCCAGAGGAACAGTTTCTGTGGAAGGAAAAAAAAACCCTTCCTTTTTTGCAATTACATTTTTAAGCATTTTAATAAAACCACCCTTATTTACATTGCTGAAATTCTTTATTTTGTTGTTATGCTCATTCAGTTGATGTATTTGTCATGGCCTATGGATCGTGCGATAAACTTTCTTGATGATGAATAGGTCCTCAAGATGGGTTGGGCTATAACGCGCAAAATTCCTAACTGGAGCCTGGGAAAGACTGCGGCCAAGACTGCGTTCGCACAATCTCTCCAGCACTCTGCGTGGTTACCCACGGTTTGTGGTTTTTCCCGTGCTCCTCCTGATGGAGCTGGCTTCCATCGCCCCTGCTCAGTCCTCCCACTGTTGACACATCCCCCCTCAGCCCCCGTGCCTGAAATTCTACCCCAAGGTGCATTGCTCCCTGCCTCTGTCACCGGCCTCTTCCTCATTGGTCCACCCATAGAGTCTGTTTGGCTGGAGCAGCTCCAGCAGTTGCCGTTCTTTCCAGAGGACTCTATGGTAGTTGCATACCAGCCTCATGGAAACCAAGTTCCAACAACAGGACAAGCCATGGTGGCACAGAGAAACCATCAAACAAACCATTGTTTCGCAGAGTGGTTTCTAAAGACTAAACACACCGTGCTGAAGCACCATGTCTGTGTTTGGACAATGCAACAGACTGAACAATGGACCCCCCCCCCCCCCCCCCACCATGGCTTGTTGTGCTGTCCAAACCTAGCCAGAATCTAAACCCAGGCTAATCTTTTGCAACATTCTGGCACAGCCCGGAGTGATCAGGAATGGATCCGCGGGCAGGAATATGCAAAACAAGGGGCGGGCTGATGCTGGCAGGAGCCGGCATGGCTCGTGAGAGGGGTGGCAGCTCCTGGGAGCAGCTGGGGGGTGGGCTTTGGGGCGCGGTTTGAGGTCTCCCGCCCAGAGTGCAACAGTGCTGAAGAAGAGGAGCCTCCCGCTGAAGGCTGCAGCTCCATCGTGGCCACCCTTGGGGAGTTCTGCAGCTGGCTGATTTTAGGCCCTGTATTGCACTGGGATGCTGGATGCCAAGGTCCCGCCCTCGCCGCACAATGGCCTGCAGGTTGCCGTGCGGAGCTCTGTCTGCGCCACCTTGGCAGAGCTGGCAAAGGGGCAGTCTGGCCTTGTCAGGAGGATGGGCCATCCAGTCCCGGAGGCTGCATGGGATGGGGAAGGAGGCGGCTCCGCTTGCCCTCGTGGACTTTCGAAGGTCGTCTGGTTGGCCACCCTGCAGACCCTCATCTGATCCTGCCGGATTTTTCCCGTGTTCTAAGACTCTCCGCAAGAGATGGGCTGGGAATGATCGGTCGGCTGTCCATCAGGGATTACCGCCACCATCCCTGTCTTCTCCATCTGATGGCTTCTGAGGAACCCCGAGGCCGAAAAGCACGAGACACAACATCTGCAGCTCCACTCCTCCCAGGTTCTCCAGTCAGGATGGAGAGGCACCTGCCCAGGGTTAGTTGCAAAGTCGTCTCCATGGAACCCCATTGACAACATTCCTCCAGGCCCTCCTGTCCTCCACTATCCCCGGAGTCCACCCAAGCCCACTCCCACCACCCCAGTGACTCCATCCAGCCACCTCAATCTCTGCCATCCCCTTCTCCCTTTGCCATCAATCCTTCCTAGCATCAGGATCTTCCCCAGGGAGGCCTTCCTTCTCATTAGGTGCCCAAAGTATTTGAGGTTCATCTTCAGGATCTACAGGGGTCCTATTCTGTGGACTGCAAGATCCGACCTACCATCAAATGCTGTTGCAAAATAAAAAAAGATCCGCTTCTCAGCCCAGTCATTAAAAAGGGGGAGAATCTACTGAGTGGCCACCTTCAATCACTCGCGTGGTGCACCACAGGACCCACAGATCTATCATCAGCCAGGAAGCGTCTTCCCTGAAGCCAGAGGGTAGAAGTCGCTTGGCTGCCAGCTACATTCCATTGATATGGCTGGTCTTCTCTTTGAAAGAGGGGAAGCAGGTCAAACCTGGGTGGCTGAACTCTTCGCTCAACGCTGGCGCCCATTCTTTCCCCCACCCCTCTTCTTTGGCATTGTTTGCCTGTCGACAGAATTCATCCAAGACACAATGCAGTGAAACAGTGGTCCAGTGGGAGAAGCGTCAGACACAGGTCTGCACCGCTGAGATTCCCAAGTTCCATACTGAGCTCACAAACCTGCCTCCGAGCGTATTTGAAATGCTGCAGTTTAAGCAACAACCCGCCAACCCTCGGATGGCTGCAAAGAGCAAAGAGGCATAAAAGGTTCTTTGGGGTGGGAGAGATTTTTTAAACAGTCAGTAGAAGATTCTTTCTCCTCCTGCTGCCTCCGAACTTGTTGGAGTATGACCTGTGGTATTGCCTGTGCTGCAACCTGGCTGGGGATGCTGGGAATTGTAAGCCAACGCGCTTGGAGGATATCAGTTTGGGAAAGGGTGCTTTAAGCCGAGCCCCAAGGTGTGAGATGAGGTCAAACCACTGCTTTCATTAACTCTCATTGCGCCTTGGAAGTGGACGGAATAACGGTGCGTCAGAGCTATGCGCAATTTGGGGTGGAGTCTCGCAAGTCGCTGCTGCGAGACGGAGGGAGGGTTAGGGCTGGGACTGGCAGGCTTCATGCGCTGCTTGTGGACTTCTCGGAGGGACGCGGCCGGCCACTTATCTGTGCCACTCGCCACGCTCAAGATGTGACGCGTGACGCATGGCAGCGCCCAGTGACTGATGAGCGGATGTAGTATTTTTGTGCTGCCCTTTGTCTGTGCAAAAAGGGATGCGTAATAATTTCGCCACTGCTTGAAAGGTCTTCAGACAGGACCGCATCCACAAGGACGTATCTGCCAAAATGTACCCGCAATCTGGTGAACATTTAGAAACACAGAAACAGAGTGAGTCAGAAGGGTCCTCCTGGGCCATCTAGTCTGATCCCCGACACTAGCCGGCTCTGCTCACAACATGCCTACCATGTACATGTCTAGCCTATCCTTGAACAGTCTCACCAAAGGGGCCTCAACCACATTCCATGGAAGCCCGTTCCACACCCTGGGAGTCCTAACCGTCAGGAAGTGCTTCCTGGCATCCAAATTGAACCTTGGCTCCCTGAGCTTGGCTCTGTTGGAACGCGTCCTGCCTTCCTCTGCAGGGGAGAACAGGTCTCTACCCACCTCCATGTGACATCCCCTCACATGCCTGTATGTCGCCAACAGACCCCCTCTGAGTCCCCTCTCCTCCAGGCTGAAGAGACCCAGTTCCCTCCGTCTCGCCTCATACGGCATCCCCTGCAAACCGGCCACCATCCTTGTGGCCCTACGCTGCACTGACTCCAACCTGGCTATATCCTTCCTGTAACAAGGGGCCCAAAACTGAACACAATACTCCAGTTGCGGGCGCAGCAGAGTCATGTAGAGTGGTAGTAACACCTCTCTCGATCTAGAAGCCACACTTTTGGCTATGCAACCAAGGAATGCAACCAAGAATTGCAACCAAGTATTGCAACAATTTGCTTGCATTCCTCTTGTTCTGGATTCCCAATTTGATTTCTGCAAATGAGCACATTTTCCCACCACCCCGAATCAGCCCGGCTTTGGTTTGAGGAGGAACAGCGCTCCAATGGGGAGATTTGCACAAATTTGAGATTCACGCAACTCAGGTCCGGTCATGGCTTGACTCACGATCGCTCCCATTTGCATAAATGATGGCAACTGTGAGCAGGACGAGCTCGTGAAGGGGCAGAGTGAGTTCAAAGGCTGCTCGCTCACCTGCGCCCGCCTACCAAAATGGCGCCCCTCATCCTGCGTCCTTCGCTGTGTCCTAGCCGAGGGGGCAAGGCAGCCGGGCAAAAGCTTTGAACCAGGTGGCTATCAACTGGCCCACTCTTTCTTGGCCTGATGTTTTCACGGTGTGCTCTTTTTAATTGTCTTCCCCACTGTTATTAAAAAGGGGCAGGATTTGGTTGTCGTGGCCAACAGCGAAACACGACAGAAGCAATGCGACGGAGGAGAGGAAAGGTGCCAGGAAGGTAAGTCCAGTGGCTCGAGTGAACAAACTCACACGGAGCAACTTCCCCTCTTCCCACCCTGTTATCCCGGATCTGCGACTGGAGCTGGCGATCAGCCTCCCTCCAGGGGTGGGACTTGCGGCCAAGCACTGTTCCCAGAGGAATCCTTGTGGGCTTCGAGGACAAGGTCAGGCCTGCACGCCGGAGGGGGTCCCCACGCTGCACCAGCCCACTGCTTTGCTTGCAGAACGGCCCCCGTTGATTCCGGGCATCTCCCGCCGGGGGAGGGGGGGACAGTTCTGGCTGGGTAACACTGGGCTGGGAGGACCAGGGGCACGGCTCAGCCTGCGGCAGCTTGCTGTGCTCAGAGGGCACACTGCGGGCCGGATCCATAGCACTGCCGTTTCTTGGAGGTCTGAGTCAGCTTAAGGAATGGAGTTTTCTCCCAGTTCCCCAACTCTGTTTTCCCCCCTTCTGGAAAGGGGGATAGAAATCCCAGGCAATGGGGTAGCCAAGCTGAGCAGCAGGCCTCGCTAAATTCTCCAGAGGTGCCAAATGACCCCTGGGACACAGGAGAGTTTAAGGCTTAAACTTTAAGCCGTCCTTCTTGGCAAAGGGGTGCTGCGCGGGTCTCGGAGGTTGAGGGGGACAGAGGGGCACTTTGGGGGCTGGAGCAGGCCCCCGTAGGGCCAGGTTGGCGCAGCTGGGCGGGGTCCCCCGGGTGCTCCGGAGGCCCTGCGGCCAGGCTGCAGGAGATGCGCAAGGATGATGTCGGCCTCACTCCGTTTTGCTTTTTGGGGGGTGGGGGCGGTGCGGAGGCTTTTATTAAAAAGCTTTTCATCACAGACATCATTAAAGCTGTTTTGCTGCTACAGGGACTGTAATGAGTCTCGAGGGCTTCTTAAAACGCTTAAGGAATACAGTGACGAGCCGCCTTCGCCTATTTGCGTGGTTTTGATAAACCCATAGAAGTTAATTTCCCAAGGATGCCGTGACGGAGCGGATGCCACATGCCACGCGGAGCCGGTTCTGGGACAGCCGCTCCAGCGCGCTGGAACCGAATGGCCCTCGCAGCCAGGCCTCCCGTGGCCCCCGGGCTGCATCAGACGCCACGCCAGCTCCCACAGGAAACTCCAGGCTGGGCGCGCTCTGCCGCGCTCGGAGCCCGGCTTGCTTCCAGTGGGTCCGAACCCCACTGGGAGTGCTGTTGAGGTGGGCTTCTCCAGGCATAGGCCTTTTCCGACCTGGTGCCCTTCAGCGGTGTTGGACTACGACCTCCAGCAGTCCCCTGCTGGGAACGATGGAAGTTGCAGTCCAGAACCTGTGCAGGGCTCCAGGCTAGGGAGGTGTGGTCTGACTGAAGTCAGGCAAGTCTGGAGCTGACCCAAGGAATCGCAGAAGGCAGGCTGCTGGCTGAGACGGCAGGGAGGAGCTACCTGTGCAGGTAACGAGGCTGAGCTGGACAGACCCACCATCAATTCCCACGAACCTGACTTCTGGCCGTGCTGGCTGGGGCTGATGGGACCTGGGGTCCTGCACTCGCCTTGGTGTGCTATTCACATCTTTTTCAGCTGGAAATGAGTGCATGTGGCCAACTGGGTTGGATTTGGCCGCAGAGACTCCGCCGGGAGTCTGGGTGTCGTCATTCTCTGGAGCGACTTCTGGGGGTGTCCCGACTTCTCCAGGCCTTCCATTGGGAAACTGAGCATCTGGAAGGTGCCCACAGACTGGCTGGGAGGCCATCGAAAGGGGGCGGCTTGCTCTGTCCAGCAGGATCAGTGCGAAAGGGCCACTGCCTTGCAAGGCTCGACTTAACCAAATCTGATAAATACACATCTTTAAAGGATGCAGAGAAGCCAGGAGAAAGTCATTCTTTTCCCAATTAAAAACACACTCCTGGATTCCGGCTTCCATTCCAGCTAATAGGCTCTTTGCATGCAAATGAGCCCTCCCCTCTAAATTGAATAAAGGGGATTCAGCAGCGGGGGCAGCCGACCTTCGTTAAGAAAGCTGCTTAATTATGCACAAGGCTCTGTGTTGTGTTTTTACATCCTGTACGGAATAGTTCCCCTTTGAGCAGTAATAAAACAGCCGTTCCAGTTTGTGAGTTTTCTCAGGAATGCCCTGCTGTTTGTCCACGAGAAAGCTTGCGGTACTCTACAAAGGGGGGGTGGGTGGGATGCGACCCCCCCCCCGGGTCTTTTGAGATCAGCTGTTCTCTCCAGGGCTTCATGCCTTGCTCGCAGGTGGAGGGTTCCCGCACAGTGCCTCCATGGGCACGTACCCCCTTCTGCATGCCGTGCTTGTGCCGCACACCAAGGAGAGGAAGGGCGCTCTTCAGGGACCAACGAGGCCCAGCATCTCTGCTCTCCCTGCCACGGCCGAGGCAGGCGAAGAAGGGGGCTGGAACGGGGAAGAGGACAGTCCGGGATCTCCTGAGAGCGCCGCTGGAGGCTGCCTCCCTGGCTATTCCGAGCACATGGAATGTGAATCGCGCCCCGGCCGGGAGGGGGACGGAAAGCTGCAAGTGCGTGAGGAGCCGGGAGGTGGCCTGTGTGGGCTGGATCGGTGCCCCTGCGGGTGCCAGCCTGAGGTCGCCGCGCTCCTGCCGGCGTCCGCAGAGCGTTCGTGCTGAGCCTTTCTGCCGAGAAGGAAAACGCTTCCCACAAAGTGGCTGGCGATGCGATCGTGGCGACGGAGGGGCCGCAGCAGTGCCCGACGCGGCCTGAGCGTGACCTTATGCGTTCTCCATGGTTCCTGCGCAGGGTGTGCTTTTCTAAGTCGAAGGGCACCCCTCCCGGAGCCCCGGCCTGGCCCAGAGAAGCTGGCAAAGGCTGCCCAGGTGCCTTGGGACGCGGGGAACCCCGAAAGCCGTCCGGAGCAGTCGGCAGCCCTACAACGGGACCCCGCGGGGCGTGCGGACCTCTCTTAGCTCACAGAAGCCTTCCCCAACCTGACTGCCCTCAGAGGTGCTGGACTACAGCCCCCATCACCCCCAGCCACCTTGGCCGATGCTCTGCCAGCCTTTTGGGGTCCGTGAGGCTGCACCATCCCTGCCAGGCGGTTTGGGAGCTTCCCCTAAGGGCTTTTCATTCTTCTGCAACTGAACGGTTTCCCTCCAACTTGTGGACACCCCCCCGCCCCCCCCCCCGCACACAGAAGGTGCCTTTTGCCCGGAGAAGCGTGAGCTCTCGGGTGGGCAAGAGACAAGCAGGGGTGGGAAAGACGGCCTCCCAGGTGCCGCTGGACTGCAACTCCCCCCACCCCTGGCTACCGGGCGACCACTGGGGACGACGGGGGTCGCACTCCAAGCCCTCTGTGGGGCGCAAGGCTGCCTGAGGGAACACGCCGGAGCCAGCTCTCCCCCGCCGGCCCCAGCCCGTCCAGGAGCCCTGGCGAGTCCCGCCACTCGTGCGCAGTCGGGTCCGGGCCACAGCTCAGGGCCAAAGCTCCCCGGAGACCTCGCCGCACGGCTGCATCGCCCAGAGACGTTGCGAGGCCTGGGCGGGATCCGGCGGGCTGGGGCTCGGCCACGCTCGCGCCACGCACGAGGCCTGCGCGCCGCCGCCCGGGCCCCCCGACTCACCTCCGGCGTGATCTCGATCTTCTCGTAGCGGCGCTTGAAGGGCAGGGCCAGCACCTCGGCCCGGTGGTAGGACATGGGCGGGGGAAGGCAGTCGACCATCAGGTCGGTGCGATGCGCCTGTGCCGGCGGCGGCTGCGTGTACTGCTCCGGACACACCACTTGCAGCGGCTGCGAGAGGAGACACACCTTCAGGGCCTGCTCTGGGAGCCCTGCGGGCGTACATGCCACATCCGGGAACCTGTAGCTCCGCATCCCCCGTCGCTCCGGGGAGCCAGGCGGACGAGGCCTTACGCGCCGTAACAGAGAGAGCCCATAATAGTCTTCCAAAAGCACAGGAGGAAAGCTAGACTATAAAACACCCGGTCTCCAGCAGCTATATACTGCTACCCAAAGTATGGGAAACAAAGAGCACAAATTGGATTCTTAATGCAGGAGGACAAATCCGACTTGATGGGCATCATGGAAACTCGGTGGGACGACTCCCAGGAGCTCAGAAACAAAAGGGCATCGCTTGCTCGGGAAGGACAGAAGGGACGGGGGTGGAATCACACTGTTTGTTAAAGATACGCATCTCCGCACAGAAATAGAGGATGAGCTTAGTTGCCCCATTGAGAGCATCTGGACTGAAATAAACAGAGCAAAGCATTAAAGGAACACGGTGGCCGGAATCCACTCGTGAGCACTCCGTCAAGAAGACAAGGGTGAAACTTCTGAAGGCAGATGGCCAATGTTTTGAGGAGGGACGGCGTGGTCACTGGGGGGACCTCCACTTCTTTGATTGAGGAAACGGAAGGGGAGGCCAATTCTGCCCAACCTGCTGCTCTGAGAAGTTCAAGATAATTTCCTCCTCCAGAGAGTGGAGGGAGGAACTCGAGGACTAGCCGTTCTGGGCTTGTTTCCAGCCTACAAGGATGAGCTAGTGGGTGAAGTGGCCCGTTCCAGCGCCGCGGTTCTCTGATTCTATGTCGGGTGGGAGATTTAGGACAGCTCAAGGACACCTCCTTCCCACAGCACAGAACTGAACTGTGGAACTGACTGCCACAAGATGTCGTGACGGACACCAATTTGGACGTGGTCTTTAAAAAGGGATTGACACTCATGGAGAAGGCGGCCATGCCTAGCCGCAGAACCTGATGGCTAAATGCTGCTTCCAGTGTGCCTATGCACATCAGCTGCTGGGGAACATGGGTGGGAGAGTGCTTACGCTCCTGTCCTGCTTGTAGGTGTCCATAAGCCTTTGGTTCACCACCGTGTGAACTGAACGGGAGCACAGGTGGATTCTGGGCCTGATCCAGAAAGGCTTTCCTCAAGCTCTCAGGGGAAGGGTTGGGGTCTTGGTCCCTCACCTATCCAGGTAAGCGGATGAGGGGGGTCCCTGGCCAGAGCAGGCCCCACAGTCTGCACAGAGTGGTCTCCCAAGAAGGGCCCCCACCTTCTTGCACGCAGCTCAGGTTTTGTAAGCAGAACGCCTGGCTCCACGTAGGAAATCAAACCCCGTGTTCATTTTGCTTGATGAAACAAGCAACAGGGGCTCCCTCCTTATTCTTACTGCATTTCATTTCTAAACTGCCCCACGGCTAAACTCTGGGCAGTTTGCACAGTGATTACTGGTGGTTAACGATTATTGCGTGATGACTACTTATCTTTGCATGAGGTTGATGGAAACACGGGTGGTACACGGCCCGGTGCGTCTGTTTACAATCGGACTTGCAAATCAGCGCCATGAAAACGTACACCTGCCCAAGCGATAGACTTCAGGTACTATGTCACTGCTAACCATTATGTAAAATGAGATATTAGCATTTATATTAAAAATTTGTTATTTTTGTATTGTTTTAGAAAAATAGAAACAGAGCGAGTCGGAAGGGTCCTCCCGGGCCATCTAGTCTGACCTCCGGCACCAGCCAGCTCCGCTCACGACACGCCTTTTGCTTAAAGCAGTTCTGGTTCTGAGGCTGGAAGCGGTTTGTGATGGAAGTGGCTAATTGTGCAACATGTTGTGGGGTCCTGGCATTCCTGGTTTCTACCCCTTCTCCTTCTGCCAGATGGAAACACGGAGCAGAGGCAGGGAATACCAGGTGCAATACGGCAAGTTGCATTGGGATGTGAAAAGGTGGAAATGGCTTGGTCCAACAGGAGAGAGTTTGGCTGCCCGTGAGGGTGACAATTTGGCAATGACTCCCCTGTCAGAGAGAGAGCGGCCTTCCTTGCCCGTCAGCTTCCAAGCAGCAGTTGCTGGGAATGCTCTCTGAGCAGCGGGCTGGGCTAGATGGCCTCCCAGACCCCTGACCCGGCTCTTTGGTCTGCATCTGCCATGGCTTGGCGGTGGCCCTGGGGAAGGATTTGGTGCAGTCAGCCCTGTGGAAAACTTCGCAAGAGAAGGAAACTTCAGCCACGTTACCTGGACTTCTTTCAGCAGTTTGGACACCTGGATAAAATTCAGCCGGGTGTCGATCGGGCAGTAGATGCACTTCATGGCCAGCGGCTGGTACGGGGCCAAAGCATCCAGGTAAGAGAAGTCGGGCTCTGCAAACAGGAAGGCGGGGATGGGGCGGGGAGGAGGAAATTCAGATGCTCTTTCATGCCAAACACTCAAGTCAAGGCCTGCCCCCTAACCCTAGGTGTGCTCTCCAGCCACCACTGAAATTTCCCACAATGCCCTGAAGAGAGGCATTGTGGGAAAGTGAAAATGGTGACTTGCAGCTGCCTGCTGCCGCCACCAGGTGGGGCTCTTGCCGGGACCCGCCATGGTAGGCGCTGGCTCCATGAATCCTCTTTGCTGAGGGTTCCTTCACGCTTGGGAAGAACATGGTGCCCCACAGTTAGGGGGCGCCATTGCATTGTTAAAGGCTGGGACCTGAAGTGCTTTGCCCACAAGAGCCGGAGAACGCCGGACTTTCCTGGACACAGTCCGCGAGACTTCCCTTCTTGGACCTCTTGGCTACACCCTCAAAATGTGTTGCCCCAAGCAGCGAGTTCCCCTTGAAATTAAAGCCTAGGAAGGGTTCCGTTTGGAAGTCCAAATTGCTCTGCCACCCGTAACGCCGGGACACTTGCCTGTAAATATGACGGTGTTAAGGCTAGATTTCCCCCAGAGCTCCATGAAATGCACCACATCTCCGAACCGCAGTGAGGGGTGGCCCGTGAAGACCACGCACGGCTGCTTGAAGTCGTGGCTGAAGTCTCCGTGGATGCTGGGGTAATGCTTCAGCTTGTTTGTCTGAATGAGCTGGAAGGCAGGAGACGGAGGGCTGTCAGGAAGCCCCTTCTTGCATCATTATTACACGCATCTATTTCAACAGCTTGCTTTATGCAAAGGAGTCGAGAGGAGCGGAAGCAGCCAAGCCCCTTGTGAACCGATGCATAACCGCCTCCAAAAGGACCCCCGTGGGGGGCAATGCCGAACTTCTGGAACAGCTGCGCTGTCTACAGGACAACCACACATGGAATGGAAGAGAGGGGACCCCCAACACACCCGGAGAGAGAACGGGGCACGTGTTCTGGTCACAGCTGCCCCCCCAAAAGCTCGGTGCGTGTGTGTGGGGCAAGCGATGGAGGGCTGAGCAGGCATGGGCACCCTGCGGCCCCCCCCCCAGAGGCCTTGAGCCGGCAGAGCCGATGCAAAGCAGCGGTCTGAGCTGCACATCAAAGCATCTGGAGGGCCAGGAGGCCTCTGGCCCGCCTTGAAGGTTAGGCTCCTCCCTCTGCGCCCCAGAAGCATCTCTTGCTGCAGCTGGTTCTGAGCCATCCTTAAGGCAAGCCCCGCAGAGACCACCTCGGAACAACCCCATTTGGGAGTAATGGGGGCGCAACGGACTGGTGCACACTGCCGCCTTCTGGGTGGGGTTTTTTTTTTAAAGCCCGTTTTATTTGGTTTATACTGCATTTATATCTGGATGGAAGATGCTTTTTGCTGCAGAAAAGGAGGGCGTTTGCTTTAAAAATAAATATATACAGATGCCTGGAAGCAGACTGAATTGCTTCTTCCCATTTATCGAACTATAGGAAGCCGCTTTAAGGACATCTTTCCGAAAGGGGAAGATTCTTTATCGACCACAAACTCTAGGGAGTGGAGGCGATAAAAACAGCTTCTTCCAACCTAAATTGCAGCATTAAAAACAAAGCAGGTCCCCAGCGGTGTTTTCTTTTTCGGGAGAAGCCAGTGCTTTGGTGGGTCAATAAGCGAGGCGAGAAAGCGAATGAATCTACGCGGCCTCAGCCTGGCAAGGCCGAGAGGCACTGCGCTCGGATTTGTGTGGGCCTGCGCATGAAGGAATCCCAGGCCGGCTCTGCCTCGGTTTGTAAATCGATCAAGCCGGTGCAGTACGGCCTGCCTGCGCCTCCTCACCCCCACGGGGACCCCTGTGCCTCCCGATTTTGTGGGTCTGGATACAGGAGGCGGAGGGTGCCCAGGTGGAGGGAAGGTGCTTTGGCATAACTCTGGCCTCACCTGCACCGGGAGGCTGCAAAATTGGTCAGAATCCGGAAGGCGTTCCAGCCGTTCCCCATGGAGCTGCTGGAGGCCATGCTGGGCCCTCTTCAAAGGGCGCTCCGAAGTTCGAAGGAAAGACGCTGGCTGAAGGCCATCACTGCCATTTATTGCAGGAGTGCAGAACCTTCGCACCCCCCCCCCGGGCTCCCCGAGACCCTCTGGGGTTCCCTAGATCCTATGCCCCCTTTCCCTGTTCCTAAATATTTTCCCCAGAACACCGGTCATTGTGTGGCACCCCAGGTTTTGCGCAGCCCCTCTCCCACTTTCTAAAAGGTCGAAGATGTTCTTCTCGGGCCCAGAGACTGGCAGGAGGGGCTTTCAGCTGAAATAGGCAGGTATTTTGGCCCTGGCCAGACTAAAACAGAGCATCTTGGACTCTCCCCAAAATGGGATTTGGCCGTGGGGCTGAAAGAGGTCCGGTGCTCCTGCTGGGCCGTTCCATCTCCATCTGCAGGAGATGCTTCCAGTGACGCTCTGGTCTGGGGTGCCTGTGCCCGGTGCTGGCCTGGACGGGGGTCCTGGGGATTCTTCTCCTGGGCCTGGGCTCGGAGCAGTGGTCCCAGGCCTCGTGGCAGAAGCGTCCTGGAGCAGCTGCCCCGGGAGAGATTCCGCCACGGCCACCTCGGCGGGGCCTGCTCGGGAGTTTATGGCCACCATCCCATTGTGGGGCTGTGACGGCATATCAGACGGTTCGGAACACATTTTAGACCTAGCCTTTTTTTAAAGTTATCCCAGAGCTGAAGGTCTGGCCCTGGAGTGTGGGCCCACGGCTTCCGGTCAGGTTTAGAGCGGGAGTTTCTGCAGAGGATGTGGTCTCATTAGGTCAGCCTGATCGACCCCTGAGATTTGTATTTCAATGTATTTTATTGTGTTGTAAGCCGCCCTGAGGCTTCGGCAAGGGGCAGCATAGAAATGTAATAATAATAATAATAATAATTATTATTATTATTATTATTATTATTTAGAGAATCCAATGCCATCAAGTCTTCTACTGGGGGGGTAGAGGGGTCTCCTATCTTTTTGGGTAGGGAGCACATCCGGAATTTCAAAAGACTATCCTGGGCCCTCTCACAAAATGGCTGCCAAGCAGGGCTACTTTGACGGTCATGGCTGGTCACAAAAAATCATTTCCTAGAAGTAAACGGGTGAGACTAGAAGAAAAGCAATTTGGCCACGGGCCTGAGCATCACCACGCCGAGGTGGGGTCTGAGTCCCAAGCAGGAAGCACCCGTACCGATCCAAATAATGACAGTGCTGGAGGCAGCACTGGGCTGTACAGCCGGCTGCGTCCGAGCTATCATGCCGTTGCTTTCATAATTAAGAATTGTGAGAGATGGATCATGATGCAGGAGAAGGGAGCGCACGGTGAAAGAGGGAAGGCCCTGGGTGGCGCATGGGACCCCCTCTCCCAGGCTTATGCCTTCAGGCTCCTGGGAATAGGGCACAGAATCAGACAGCAGAATTGCTTCTGTGTGGGAGATCCTGTCCCTGGGAGACTGTTCCTCTCACCCTTGCTGGTTTCAGAAGGGACAGCTGCATGGTTTCCTTTTTGGTAATGCTTGGAATATAGAAACATAGAAACCGGGTGAGTCAGAAGGGGCCTCCTGAGCCATCTAGTCTGACCCCCGGCTCCAGCCGGCTCCACTCACGACATGCCCATCATGTGCATGTCCAGCCTGTCCTTGGACACCCCCACCGATGGGACTTCAAGCTGCTTGCTACAGCCTTGCAACTGAGAAAGAGGTGTGGGCGTTTTCACACACACGGGAGGGCCTTCTCCAAATGCCATCGGTGGAAGGTATGCATTGCGTATGCACTTCAAAGATGGGCTTCCCTGTAATGCCGTGACTTCGGAATACCCTCCAGAGGAACTGACGGGTGCCCGCCTCATCTCCGTTTTGGCCTCTGTTACATTTCTGCGCCTTGCCTCAGCAGGTGGAGCAGTAATATTTCGACATTTTAAATGTATTTAGAAATCCGTTGTTGTGCTTTTGTTCTGAAGAGTTGCTCCATTTGCTTTTTAAAATATGAAATGGCAGGGGGCGACAGTGGGTGTTAGTCCTAGAGGAGACCCACTGAAACGAATGGGGATTACACTGTTCGCGATGTCCTCTAGCGACAGGAGTCCTGCTTTGCCACCAGCTGGTTCCTGCCACGAACTGCCAAATTCTGCAGGTTGGGCTGGGAAATTTCCTGCGGGTCCTTGTGGCCGGCCTGGGTGAGGTGGGCCCAGGCCTGGCTGCATGGGGGGCCGCTGTGAGCCGGAGGCGGCCGCCCTGGGCCAGAGGAGCCAACAGCTGGACTGGCCGGAAGGGGAGTCCCCGGCTTTCTCATTCTGCAGAGACGCGTGGGGAACAAACACAGGGCATTCGGCAAACACCGTTCTCTTACCTCCGCGTGAGGAAAGGGGGGCTCCGGCAGGTACACCTTTGTCTGCTTATTGTGGCACAACCTTAAGTTCGGGTGGGGGGGGGGGGAGGGAGAGAGAGACAGAGAGAGAAAGAGAGAGAGAGGGAGGGAGAGGGAGAGGGAGAGGGAGAGAGGGAAGCAAAGAGGAATTACAGCCCGCCTGACACAGCACACGGTTCCCTGCTGCCCCCTGCTGCCCAGCGCGGCAGAGACGGTCCAGGCACTGGAGCCCAGCTTGGCCTCCCCTCGGATCTTGCCCCCAGACCTGCCCTGCATGGAAGTGCCCTCCCCCCCGATCTGCCCCTGCCCAGCCCTTACAGTGCCCCATGGGAGAGTCAAGGCAGAGTGTCCCGGCCCTCTGGGGCTCCAACCACATTCAGAACGGAGGAAACTCCTGTGGGAGCGGCACAAAATGGGGCGAGACCCCAGCCCAGTACTGCTGGCAGGGCGATGCAGCCGAAGCCGCTTCAGACCCACTTTTGGCAATGTCTAAGCTTTGATTGTACGGGAGGGCTGCCCTAGAACGGTTTTTCATATTCACAAATGATGATTTATGCTTATATTGCATGTGTATTCGAGAGAGGACCCCAAGGCAGTGTCCATTTTATCCCCACAGCAGCAACCCTGTGAGGAAAGGTTAGGCAAGAGTCCGCGATCGGCCAGCGAGCTTCCCGGCTGAGTGGAAACCGGAGCTGCTGGTCCCCACTCGGACAGTCTCATCAGCATGAGCTCTCGCCGACGCGCACGGTCTTTTAAATTATTTACCTGCTTCTTGGACACTAGCAAAAGATCAGTGTCAAAGGATCTCCGTGCTCATTTAACGCCTAAAATGCCGATAGTGCAACCGTGGAAGGATGAAGCTTCCCTCCGATCAAGTAATGGGCTGGGGGGCTTTTGTATTTAAATAGGAAGCGTGAACAGACCCCCTGCGAAGGGAGACCTACTCGGATATTTGGGCTGGGAAGTTAATTTCGCACAAATCCATATGCAAAGATGATCAAAATACAGTTTGGTTTTTGGGGGTGCATTTTTGGGGACCCTGCTTTGAGATGGGTCAGGATGGAACTGGAGGTCTGAGCCACGTGTGGTTCTCTTTGGATGCATGCCTCATCCACTGGGCTCTGCAGATGACCCATCCCCATCTTTCAAAGGGGCGGGATGCTGCGATGGATGGATGCTGCGGGGGCATTCCTCTTTATCATGGCTTGCGCTTCCGTGGAATACAGCCACTTCTTTCGATGCCCAAAGGATCATCCTGAACTCCAGTGCATTTTGGCACCCCTGGCTGTGGGGTGTGGGGGAACAGGGAAGAGTGAATTCAGAGGGAGCTGAAATACGGAACACAGGGACAGCGAGACCGTATCTCCCTTTCTGTGAAAAGGAGAATGATCACGTCCTACGCCTCGCCCCCTTTCTGACCTCACTGTTAACAGTCCCCTCAACCCCACCCCATGGGCACCTGCGTTTTCCCACCTGGGAGGCACGATCACCCCTCACGCACCTTCTGAAGCATGCTGCTGTTCACAGAGGTTTATGCCAGAACACACCTGTGCGGAACCTTCACGGTGTCCTAAGTCCCTTTGTTGGTTTTGCTGCAGTCAACACACCTGGGCAATCTTCTAGATCGGGGCGAGCAGCTTGTGGCCTTTGGCTCTCATCAGGCCTGGCCAGCAGAGCCAGTGGTGAGAGGGACCATAAGAGTGGAAGCACAAAGTATTGCCCACCTGTTGCTCTGGATGTTTTCAATTTAATTCTTCCTTTGGGAACAGATCTGGAAGCAGCGCCTGACACGGGGCTGCTGCGAAAGTCGCAGTTTGGTTTGGAAAGCTCCTTCCGGAATGTGTTGGCTGATGCACCATCTGTGAGGCCACGTCAACCTTGGCTGATGTGGGTAAAGCCAGGGAAACGCGCAGGAGCCCACCAAAATATAACTGGGGGCGCGGAGAGGCGAGGGGAACTCAATGTGGGGCTGTGATTCTGGACAGCAACCCCAAACTGAGCAACGGGTCCTGTCGCAGCCTCAAGCCACTGGCTTCCTATGACGCTGCCGGCTCCATTTTGGTTCTAAAATTCTGAGTCAGCATTTTGATGAGAAGAGCAAGCAATGTTTTTACCTCGACACAGATGGAAAAGTGGAACTGGGAGATAAACATAGGAAGAACCGCTGTGCTGTGGCAGATGACCTGCAGGGTTAGCCGGCCAGACTGGCAGAGGCCTTGTTTGCGTGACATGCCAATGAGCCCAGGCTGTGACCCAAGTTTCATTCAGAGAAGCGTGTCATGTTATCCAAGCTTGGCGTGACAGATGAAGTGTGGGTTATTCATCCTGGCTTGTTGTTCATCCTGGCTTGTTGTTCATCCTGGCCTGTTGTTCATCCTGGCCTGTTGTTCAGAGAGGCTTGTGCTTAGGCTGGTTTCTCATGGCATCCCAACCTGGCATGTTTTGCTGAAAAGGGTTTGCTGGCAGAGCAGTGAGAAGTCCGGATGCTTTGGATGCCTTCCTCTTCCAGTTTGGTGTTTCACTTGACAGGGCCGGACTTTTTCGCCGCGGGAGCCGAGTCAGCCCAGCTTTGCGTGTTTGTGTGATCGCCTTACCTCTGGGCAAGCATGCATGCCCCTAATTCAGGACCGTGGCATTTTGGGAGCAGCAATTTAAGTGTTCTTCACCCCACTTTTCACACCAAAGGGCCTCCGTCTGCACCTTTGCCAAGGTGGATGAATAAAAGAAAAACAGCATCTCTCTTTCTTTATTTTTGGCAGGAAAACAGGAGAAGAGAAAGCTGAAATTCGCCCACCTTTGAATCACCACAGTCTCAAATTAGGGCTGTGCATGCTAACCCAAAGGTTACTGGCAGCAGTGGCGTGGCTTAATCAACCCACCATGGCTTGTTTCTGGCCTGGTTTACGGTGATGTGCGAACTGCCCACTGGCAATCCAGTGATCCAAGCAGAGAAAACATCTTTCTACATGCAAAGAAGGGACTTTCCCACAAGCAATGGCTCTTTTTCTGATAAAATCTAGGAGTTAATTTGATTAATAGTGTTCTCTCTGTCTATCTGGTTTATTGTGTTTGTTCTCTTTCTGCCTATACCGCTCAACTGACAGACACCCTTGGAATGTTTTCCTTTAATTAAAATCCCAAGCAGTAGTAAAATAACAATCGATGCAGCCCTTGTAAATATTGCAAAACCGAGAGATTAAAAATATTAGCCACCCATAAAACGAATCATAAAAACTAAATTTAAGATTCAGCACCTCCTGGAAAAAGACGGCCTGAGCCTGGAGAGTCAATGGCACGACCCAACTGGACTTCCAGTTGTCTGTTGACCAAGATGGCCTCCGGACACTTACCATTCGGCAAAGATCTGGGAGAATTCGAGCGAGCTGTTGGCCACGGGCGAGATGAAGTAGAAGGGGATGTTGGAGAGCCCGGCCGAGTCGATATACTGGTACAGGCATTCCAGGAGGTCATAGATCACTCCGGACGGGTAGCAAGGGACGAGCACATTTCCTCCATTCCGAACCGTCAGTGCTTGAAAAAAAGACCAAGAAAACAATTTTTTTAAAGAAGAAAGAAGCCCAAGAAGCCCAGATTAGACCTCCGGGACTGTTATCTAGCAAGATCCATCTATCCACCTCCAAAAGCAAGCCAGGAAGAAACCCACAGCAGGACATCCCTGAAGTCTGCTTCCTATTTTAGGCAAAGGTAGACTGCCTCTAGACAAGGCTAAGGCCCATCAGCAGATCCGGGCCACCCTGGATTGATCAAAACCCTCTGTGCTTGCGGTTGTGCTTGCAACAGCCCTGGGACCAACATTTTAGCAGAGTAACCAGGCGTGGGGAGACCCAGGAGCTTCACGCTGGTCTGTTTCACAGGGCAGTTTTGAGCTTTGGTAGTACAAGAGCCAGAGAACACATTCCTATATATTTGCCGGTGCGGGTGTTGCTCTGTGCCCTCAAGGCAACCCCACCTTAAGGCACCCCCGTGAATCGAAGTCTTCCGAATGTCCCGAATCCTCCGCTCCACTCTTCTAATTCCAAGGCAGAGGCTTCCTTTATAGACTCACAGGTGCCTTTTATGAATCCTTACCACATGTTTCCTCAACCTGCTGCCCTTCCAGGGGCTGCACTGCAGTTCCCATCATCCCCAGCCGGCCCTGCAGTCCATCACGATTGCAGGGCTATACCACGTTCCCTCTCCTGACTTGCCCCATGCCACCTCGCCTTTTTCTAAACGTCCATCCCCAGCTTCTTTCTGCCTGCCTTCAAAAGGAAAGACCCTCTGCCGAATTCAGTGAGCAGAACCATGAGCAGAATTCCGGATGGACGCACATAGCCAGCACCGCTGCATTTCCGGATTTCTCTGAATATCTGTGTTGCTCCGATGTTTCCAGCAAGCCTTTGACTTGCTGAAAGTCCATGGCTGTATTTTAAATATCCTGCCAATGGCTGCTCTCCAGCTTCCTCTTGGCAATGGCGCATTCAGACAGAGATACCTCCAGAATTTGTGGTGGTTGTGTTCATTGTCCTCCTCGAACGCTTTCTGCCTTTTTCCCCAGTGCAAAGGAAGTTGCGATACAAATTAAAAACTTTCAACAAAACCGTCACACAGAAAACAATGTAAACGAAGCAGCAACCTGCAAAGCCAACATACACAGAAGTTTTCAAACTCAAGAGATTAAAAACTGTCTGGGAAGAAAACGTATTTTCACCCAGTGATGGAAAAACACCCGGGATCTACTGGGTATCACATCATGTGCATCAGGGATGAGCCACTGGTGCATACTGGGGAAGTGCTGAGCTTCAGGGGACAGTCTTCTCAGTAAAGAGCTTCTGGTCCTGGCCTGACCCCTCCCCACCCGCCCGGGTGACCCCTGGACCCCCCCAGACAGGAAATAGAAGGCGGTTTCTTGTTGCAGCCGAGCCTTCCTCAAGCTCATCCTCAGCCCTGATTGTGTCTCTTCACCCTTGATTACGCTTTGGTTCTGACTTCTGGCTTGCTCCCCAATCCTCCTTAGAATAGCAGAGTTGGAAGGGGCCATGAAGGCCATCTAGTCCAACCCCCTGCTGCTGCAGGACACCACGTTACACCATCCCACTCAGAGGGCTGCCCAGTTCGCCTTGAATGCCCCTAGTGTGGGAGAGCCCCCCACCTCTCCGGGCAGCTGGTTCCACTCTTGTGTTGCTTTGACAGTGAGGAAGCTTTTCCTGGTGTCCAGCCTGAATCTGGGTTGCCGCAGCTTGAATGGATTCTTCCGTGTCCTGCACTCGCATCAGCAAGAAGAGACCTTGACCTTCCTCTTTGGGACAGCCTTGGAGGGACTTCTAGAGGGATACCATGTCCCCCGCTCTGTCTTCTCTTCTCTAGGCTGAATAGGCCCAGTTCTCTCAGACTCTCCTCACAGGGCAGTGTTTCCAAACCCTGGATCACTTTTGTTGCCCTCCTTGGCATGCCCTTTGGAGTTCCAAGTTGCTCTTCACACCTGACTTGTCTCGGTCTCCAACTTGCTTTTCTGCTGGGCTCCTGGTTTGTCCTTTGCAGGCTCACCTGCTCCTTGATCCTGTCCTCCAGTTATCTTGCTCTTGCCTTGCTTTTCTACCCTGCCTCTTGCCTTGACCTTCTGAATCCCAACCTGCTCTTTGACCTTGACTCCTGGCTTGTCCTTCGGAGCCCTGACCGGCTCTCCTCCTGGCTTGTCAGTTGGTCCTCGGACCCTCATCAAGGCTTGTCCTTCAATCCCAACTTGTTCCCTGATCCTGGCTTGTCCCTTCAGTCCTGACTTGTTGCCCATCATCTGATTCCCGTAGGTGTCCTACTGCTGAGCCATGGTGCTTTCCCAGTTGACATCTCGAGCACGGAGAAATATATTCTCCAGCTACACATTTTCTGGGCAGGAATACATGCAACAGCCCATGGCAGCTGAACTATCCTTCCACGCACGCCATTTAGTTGGGAATTCAGTGCTGCTGTGCCTGAAGAGGGCAGCAGAGCTTCAGTATGCGAAAGACATTTGGACTGCAAGAAAAATAAATTAAAATAAACAATTCGTGTTATTTTTAAAGTACAGGGCTGGGGAGGAAGGAGGAAGAGATGAGAATTTTGGGAGCTTTGGCACCTTGAACTCCCAGTAACAGCAGTGGCAAACTTACAAGCAGAACACCAAGCATTTCAAGGAAAACTAAGATTGCCAACCGTGGGGAAGAAAATCATTTGGGTATCTGAACAAGCAGAGGGAGATCCGACAGAACACGCTCCCGTGGTCCAAGGCAGGTTTCCCACCATGGGGTCCTCCAGTTCTTTTCAGCCACCAGCTGGGTGCTGTTGATGCTAGTTGGTCCAGAAGATACGCAGGGCCCCGTGGTGGAGACATCCACACTGTGTACGGGCAACAAGCAAAACCATACAAAGATGATGTCAAAATGCCACTCAGTTAGAAGGCAAGAATGCGACACAGCTGGCGTGCAGAGCAGATGGCAACTGCCAACTGGCCTGTGGGTGGTATAGGGTCGAAAAAATGGAAACACAAAGGAATTCAGCACTCAAGGGACTAGGCATGTAGGAAATACCAATGCCCCGTGTCCCCCCCCCTTGCTCTCTCTCTCTCTCACACACACACACACAAAGCCAGCCAGCTGAGCATTTAAAGGCGAGCTGACATATTCTAAAAGAATCTGGCAATCTTCAAAATTCCAGAAAGACTCACTGGAAAATAGATTCTCAGTTCTATTCTCCTGGTACAGAACAAAAGCTGACAAAAGTGTGAGATGAATGGCATTGAATATTATGCCACGCTTTCGGTCAGTAACAAATTTAAACCTGCGTATGTGTGTGCATGCAAGCACGTGTACAAATTTATGTCATTGATGCAAATGTCGGAATCACAGAATCATAGAATAGTAGCGTTGGAAGGGGCCATGAAGGCCGTCTAGTCCAACCCCCTGCTGTTGCAGGACACCAGTTTGCACCATCCCACTCAGAGGGCTGCCCAGTTTCGCCTTGAATGTCTCCAGTGTGGGAGAGCCCCCCACCTCTCTGGGCAGCTGGTTCCACCATCGTATTGCTCTGGCTGTGAGGAAGCTTTTCCTGATGCCCAGCCTGAATCTGGGTTGTCACAGCTTGACTTGATTATTCCGTGTCCTACACTCTGGCATCAGCAAGAAGAGATATTCCTCTGCGACTGTCACTTGGGTTATTAAAAAAGGGCCTCTTCTGATTGTTTTCAGTTGTACTCTGAGTGCTTCAGTAAATCCATTTCGTTGCAAACCACCCCGAAAGTTTCCGATGAAAAGTGGTATATAAAACTGGGCAAACAAAGGCTCTCTTGCTCGCCACACTTCCAACTAGTTCGAAAATGATGTCATCCACACCTGCAGCATTGTACCAGCAAGACAATTATCAGCTTTTCCAACAGTGAAAATTAATTTGCTAATTCATTCTAAATTTGTAACAGCAGCTGTAGCTATACCTATGTATAAACCATAGGCTCAATTTTTTAAAAAAGAAAGAGAGAAAAGAGAAAGAAAAGGCAGAGCTGATGTTATAAATATCAGTTTGATTGTCCTCATGTTTTAACCCCCAGGGGCCTCATCTGGCCAAGACGTCTTGCTTTAGAGGTGAGGACACTTTGGAAGAAACAAAGCCACCTGTGTCAAAGATGAGATACAGACTATTGAACACTGGGATGAACTATGGATGCAGGAGCGGAACAAATGAAAGGAGGCTTATGCGGAGGATGTTTTGTACGGCCTTCCTATGTTCCTGAGAAGACCGGGGGATGCTCTGGGGTCCGCCTGGGTGAACGAATTGTCAGCTCCTTGCCACGTCCCCGGAACAAAAGACAAGGGACCCCTCTTGCTACGGACTGCATACAGTTCTTCTCTTCCGCTATGGCAGCATCTGCCAGCATGCAGAAGCCCCAAGCCCACTTTCCGGAGAGTTGCGGGGGAAGTAGCTTTAGCAGGACAAAACCTAGTTCTCACAAGAAAAGCTGCTCTTATCTACAGAAAGACTGAAGGAGGCAGTTTCAAAGCAATTATCTCTGGGACTTTTTCTAACGAGCCGAAGGGCACGAGGGCTTGACACATCCCTGGCTTTTGGACACTGGAGAACCCAGCCTCCAGAATCTCTTTGCCTTTCTTCCAGCAGAGATCACAGAACACACTTGCCAAAACTCACAAAAATCAGCAGAGAATCAACCAATTTATGCACAAAGGGCAAGCACCCAGAATTAAAACTGTAACTCAGTTAAAACAGGCAAATAAAACAAATTAAAGACAACTAAGCCAATTTGGACCGGATACGCTCTGCATCCTGTTTAAGGCCATTAAGAGAAGCACAATGGATTAATTAAAAATGCACACACACTTATCATCTGTCTGATAAATGAAAAGCCAAGATTATGATTGATCACAGATGTGCAGCGCAGACCTATCCATGTGTACATGCAATTAAGCACAGTTCAGTGGTTAAGAGCATGGAACTGGGCCGCAGGTGATCCGGGTTCAAGTCCCCACTCAGCCATGGAGCCCACTGGGTGACTTTGGGCCAGTCGCAGACTCTTAGCCCAGCCTACCTCGCAGGGTGATTGTTGTAGGGCTAAGACGGAGAGCAAGATGAGGAGAATGATGTAAGCTGCTTTGAGTTCTTAAAAAAATGGTGGGGTAGAAACCTAGTAAGTCCCACTGAATTCCGTTAGACTTATTCCCAAGTCAGATTTAAGGATGCTTAACTCCATCAGAATTAATAGGAATAAATGCATTTAACTCTGCAGTGGGTTACAGCCACTACTTACAACCAAAAGTAAAATAAAGGGCTATTTCAGTCCACCAACAGAATGTCACCGCCCTGCAGAATGTTGAACACCTTACTTTTTCAACCCAAACTTTACCCCGGTGAGATCAAGCTTTCATTAGCAGACCTGTATTCTCTTTTACTGCCACTTCGCCCACTAATTCATTGTATCTCCATACTGCCCTCCAGCCAAAGTGCACCGGGCAGTTCCAAAAGAGGGAAGAAGTCGGCATTCCCCCCAGATATCAAGCGGTCTAAAGCAAAATCAAACATTAAAAAGCAAAGCCTGACACAAAGAATTGAGACAACTCTTAATTGAATGTTATTTCTTATTAACATTCCTTCCTGTTGCTGCTTGGAAGATTCGGGGCCCCTGTTTGGTGGGGGGCAGACAAGAGTTCTCTGGCTGCTGAGCCGAGCGGATGCTTCCAGAGCTTGGCTTCCGCAGGCTCCTTGGTCATCAAGAGTAGGAAAGAGGACAGACGTCTCGGCTTTTGAGAAGAGGAAGGAAGAATTTTAAGGAAGCATGTGTCAGGATTTTAAATTGGCCGAGAGACAGACAGGAAACTGCCCAAGGCCTTGTCAGAACAGCGCTTGTTGGCAACGGAATCATCCACTTAGCGAACGCACAGAAGCAGACGATTTGATCTCATTATGCGACTTCCATTCCAAAACCGACTGTTTTTTTCCTATTCCTCCCTCCAAAGGTACAGCTTGCATCTCTCAGAAGCACTTACTGTATTAATGAGCGAGGCAAAGGCGCATCGTAAAAAATCCGAACTGCTAGTTTTATGCCAGAGAGAGAGAGTGAGAGAGTCAAACAGTTACTTCGGTTCCAGGAATCTCACAGCAATTTCCCACACGGGGTTATGAGTCAGATTATAAAACAAGCAACAGCGATCCTTCCATCTCCCTGCCTCCCTGCATTTCTGGCACTCCGTGGCAAAACAGCCCCCCCGTGCCGGCCACCTACCAAGGTTGCTGCAGAATTCGCCCACCATCCCGTCCGGATTGGCCGTGGGAATCTGGGTGAGTCCCGTTAGGATGAGCACATTGCTGTTCTTAAGAGACGCTTGGTCCATGGGCTGGAAAGACAATGTTGGAAAGACACATTTTAATTGGACTGAGAGCGTCGGCCTGAAGAACCACAGCTCGCAAAAATTACCCGGCCTGTGCTGCTGGGCTGTAGCCTCACAGATGTGGCAGGCACTGGTTTGGAGAAGGCTGCTTTCTGAAAAGGGTGTTTGAAGAAGTCCTCTTCGCAGCTGCCTGAAAGTCAGAGGCACACTCACGCATGCAAACGGGAGGGTGATATCCCCGCAGCGAAAAGAGCAAAACAGGTAAATGGGGATCTATAAGAAAAATAAGATTTCCTGGTCTGATGGCTTACACCACCAAGAGAAGAACCAGAGAGCTGCATGGGAAGAAAGAACCGTTCTCTCCACACAAAGGGCGTTTTAAAAAGGCTTGGCTTGTTAAACTCCTCATCCAAGTCCACAATATAATGCTAAGCACAGCCCTCTTTCTATGATTTTTATTTAGAATGTTTTTATACTGTTCGTCAACCAAATGGCTCTCTGGAATGGTTTACAATAAACTAAAGGTGCAAAAAACATGATCCCGTAATCATCCCAAACCCTTTCCTTTTGCTTGCTACACCACAAGGTGTCTTTGTGTTCTAAACAGTGTCGGAGACAGATCTTGGGCTTTTATGTCAGTACTATGGGAGAGAAGTCATTATTGTTCCCTTGGTCCAGCAACCCTCGGTGAAACCCGAAATCTGTCCTGTGCCTAGGCAGGGATGGATCTAATTAAAGGCCAGGTCCTAACCCTGGTTAGACGGAGAAAAGGCCTACAACTCGCAGCCCACCGGGAGCGGCAGGAGGGCTACGGTATGCTGAGAATGAGCAAGGCTGCTTCTGTTGAAACGTGTGGAATCGTGCTCTCCGTTTGCCCAGGGCCCCCTGAACTTCAGTCCAAGGCCGTTACGAGCATCCACTGCCAACAGAACTTGAGATGTGATCTTTACGTCAGTCCTGATGGCCATCGTTGCCAGGTGTGCCTTCAGAATTTCCTCTGGAGTAAAGCATCTTCAGAGGAAAAGAACAGCCTTGCTCAGTCAGACCTGAAGCCCAGCCAGCCCAGTACCTTGTCTCCAACAGTGGATGGCAGAGGTTTCCAGGGGCGAGCAAGCTAGGCAAGGAAACGACAGCCTCCGCAGCTGTTGGACCTCCACCCCACCTCTTTCTGCATGGTGCCTCATCCACCTATCACTCCTCAGAGACGTGGGCAGAAACTTTCCCCCGCAAACATGCCCAGATCTTTGGATCAGCCATGATGTCGCACTCGGCGCTGGAAGGTCGGGCAGAAGCCACTTTGCACACGGCAAGCAGTGCAGCGGCACGGATGGAAGAAGTTTGCAGAAGTTACAAAAAGGTAAAAATGAAATCCTCATCAAACGAAAATGCCAATAAGACTGTAAAAGTGATATTGAATCTGCCTGTGGAAAATATAGCTAATGATTATGCCGTATTCAACAGTCATCATTTCATCTTTCAAGCGGCATTGATTTCCGGGGTCGCTGCAGAGATGATACTTTGAAAGACTTTCGGCAAACCTTCCAGGCTGCCCTGTCTCCTTCCCCGCCGACGGTCAACCTTCGTTCTGCTTTTTGCCATGCAGGCGTCGATATTCTAAGTTACTGTCGTTGAATCGTATCAGGCAGAGTGTCCTTGTGAAGCCTCACCTTTCCCTGTAAGAAAGGTCTTTTGCGTTCCAGTTTTCTGGAGACTTCTTTCCGCAAACCACCTACGAGGAGCCCTGCTTGGTGGGTGTCGGAAGCGCATCTCGCTCAGCCTGAGGACTGAATTCGAGTCTGGCGATGCTCCGGTGCAGGGGAGGCTGGATGCAAAAACGGTGCGGGCAAAGCGTCACCGCCAAGTGCCCAACCCGAGAGAGCAGCAAATGATTGGCAGGCTTTGGGAAATGAGTGGGACCCAGCGAGCGGGGAGGGGCCTTCGGGGTCACCCTGCAGGGCTGGGACTGGGACCCCGGACTGGGACCCCAGGCAGCTGGATTCGGCCTGCAGTCCTGGGGGTCATCCATATATGCCCAGACGCCCCTTGAGATCTGCGGGAGAGGCCCTCCTCTGGGAACCCTCAGTGAAAGAAATTAGGAGGGTGGGTACTCGGAGGAGGGCTTTCTCTGCGGTGGCGCCTAAGTTATGGAACGCGCTCCCCAGAGAGGTCCGCCTGGTGCCATCGTTATTTGTTTTTCGGCGCCAGGCGAAGACCTTTTTATTCAAGCAGCATTTTAACTGTTAATATCATTGGATTTTATCTGGCCAGGGTGGCTTATTTTATACTGTATTTTTGTATTTTAATTTAATGTTTATATTCTTGATTTATATTATAATTATTTTAACTTATTGTTGTAAGCCACCCTGAGGCTTCGGCAAATGGGGCGGCATAAAAATGTTTTAATAAATAAATAAATAAAACACCCAGATCTCCTCCAAGAGCTTGCTTTTGCTGGTGGACCTCCGGGTGTTCCCACAATGCCCACAAAGGTAGCATTGAAGGCTAGCATTTTCCTTGCTTGCTGCTTGGCTACTAGTACTGAGTGGTATACCGGCCCTGAACATGGAGGTTCCATTCCGGCTACCATTCCCTGGATCTCGGATTTTTGCGTATCAGACGCTGCTGCTGATGCTGCCTAAACAGAGCCAGTATAATGTGCTGGTGTGAGCCCAGCAGATCTGAGTTCTAGTCCCCATTTGGCCATGAAAGTCCTTGGGCAACTCTGGACCAGCCACTGCCTCTCAGCCTAACCTACCTCACAGGGCTGTTGTTCAGAGGATAAGACAGGCCATGCAATATACATTGGGTTGCTTGCAAGAGGCAAAAATGGGATATGAATGCATTGTGACAACAGCCATCATAATACTACTAATAAAAACAGCACCATAAAATTCAGGTAATGGGAGCTTGCAAGAATCCCAAGGTCTGCAGAAGTTAAAATAAAAGAAATAGAAAAAAAATAGTGGGGATGTGGAACCTACAAAAGAAGCCTGAATTGCACCGAATGTGGGCAGGGACTACAGAACGCTACTGAATTATTACGGGAGCGTGTTGCCAGCATCGGCACCGGAACAGGCGCATCAGGAGTGGCTGAAATTGCCACGCGGCCTGTGGGTTTCATATCCCTGCCCTGTGGGACGCTGGGAATGCCTCCAGAAGAAGCCCTGATTTTTCAAAAATGATGAGATGTTGGAGATTGGGAAAAGAAGCGACTGCAAGCAAGTTTTTAGCATCCTGTGGAAAAGGTAAGGCATGAACGGAGGGAAATGAGTTGTGCATGGACTCCCATTCAACAGAGCCCCTTTTTCCCACTGCGTGAGTTGCAGGAAGTGACCGACATCAGCCGTCTGCAGTAGATTCCACCACCCACTCACTCCATCACTTTGCCAAACATGTAACTACCTTGTGCTGGAAAAAAAAATATGGATCTTGCGAGAATTAATTTACTGGAAATTACATCCACAGCAGTATGAAGACTTTGCCCTTAGAGGAGCAGGGTGGACGAGTTAAGCCATCATTCCTTCAAGAAAAGATAATTCAAAGAGTGATGTACAGGCAGTCTTGAAACTGCCTTTAAAGATTATACAGTGAAATATGCTGAGCTTGAATATTAAATAAAAGAGGGCAAGTGAGCAGAGAATGAGTGGTAATTTTTACTCTTGAGTAGGCACACAGAAGCCGATCCAAATCAGGACACTAGAGTGGAAGTGGGGGGTGGATCCTTAACTTGTAGCCCTCTTATCAAGACCCCGACATCTGCAACTTGCATGGCAAAACAGCAGTAACACATAGCAGGCGGATCACTATTTTGCAACAGAAGTGGCAGAACCGGACACTTAGCTGGTTCAGAAAAGAGCAGCCAGGATATTCATGGGGACCGGCAGGTATTCACATAAAATCCTGGTCTCCTATCGGTTCCACTGGCTACTAATTGAAGTCCGGGCCCAATTTAAGGTGCTGGTGACAACCTACAAAGCCATAAACGGTTTGAGTCCGGGATACCTGAAGGAGCACCTTCTCCCCTGTGTGCTCCCCCGCCCCTTGCAATCTGAGGGGGAGGTCCTTCTTTGGGAGCCCTCCCTTGAAAGAGATCAGGAGGGTGACTACCCAGAGGAGAGCCTTCTCTGTGGTGGCACCCCGATTGTGGAATACGGTCCTCAGAGAGGTTCGTCTGGCATCAATGCTTTTTTCTTTTTGGTGCCAGGTGAAAACCTTTTTATTCTCCCGTTATTTCCAGGTTTAATTCATTTTAATTGGGATTTTATTGCGAATTGCTGGGTGCTGTGCCATTTTTATTGGTGCTTGTTGTAAACCATCCCGAGACGCCAGTAATGGAACAGTCTGTAAAAGCTTTAAATAAGCAAATAAATAAATAAAATCTCATGTCCACACTGGATGGGAGGGTGTGAGGGTAAGAGGGTGAAAGTCCTCTACCCCTAATATCCAATCGTAAATTGGACGTGAGCAGATCTAGGGAATGCGAGACCTGAGCACCTCCCCTCGCTTTCTCCCCTCAGGCCAGGAAGCAGCAAGTCGGAGGGGCTTCTTTGTGGTGGCCCCACTACTTGGAATAACCTCCGATCAGAAATAAAATTGGCAGAAATGGTGACTAGTCTCTTTCAGACACACGCATTCCCACAGGCTTTTCCTGACCTGTGAGCCAGATGTTTTACTGTCCGTGATGCTTTTCCAAGTAAGTGTTTTATGTGTATTGTGATGTGAACCGCTCACTGTGAACTGCTTACAGGTGTTAATATCCAGGTTAAATCCACAGACCCCAACCTCCCACAGACTCAGCCTCTTCCCCACAGGCCACACCCGCCGCTGACCCAAACGCCCGTGAAATCCAAATTTGAGGGTGTGCCGACGCCTTACTTCTCCCACGCCTTCTAACTAAAAGCTTTATTGAGTTGATGCAAGCCAATCAGACTGACTTAAAAGTATAAATTAAGTGTATTGCAGAAGCCAGTTACAAAAGAAACAAGCGTGGTTCTAATAAGGTAACCCAGAAACGAGCGAGAGCCAGTGTGGTGTCGTGGTTAAGAGCCTGGGACTGGGACTCAGACAATCCAGGTTCGAGTCCCCGCTCAGCCATGGAGCCAACTGGGTGACTCTGGGCCAGTCACAGACTCTCAGCCCAGCCTACCTCACAGGGTGGTTGTTGTGGGGATAAGATGGAGGAGGAGAATGATGCAAGCTGCCTTGAGCCCTTTGTAGGAAAACGGCAGGATATAAATCGAAAAATAAATAAATAAATAAATAAATAAAAAATAATACTAATACATTCAGGAAGTGGGACCCCTTGGTTCGACCTTGACGGCAAGCCACGCACACCTCCTTTCTCCCTTCCGGACTCAAATTACCCACACACGGCTCTATGGCTGATTTCTTGGCACACCAGGCCCCACTCAGCTGGTCTGCCCTCCTTTGCTGAGGCCGCCCCTCTCCTCCTGAGCCGGTTTGCTTTGCCTCCGCATGGTGTCTGAAACAGACGGACTCTTCCTTGCAGCCTGGCTGATTTCTGGGTCGACTGGCCTTGGCACCCCAGTGGCGGATTCCTAATTCTCCTCCTCAGGGAGGTCACAACCTACTCCCGCCTCCCTAGGACGCTCCTTTGCAGAAGACATGGGCCTTGCCCCAAGACAATCCTACACAAGTAGAGGCAGTAAAAAGACCCAGAACACCCAGCATGCTGGGCTCAGCGTAAGCGGCTGGGGCATACTGGGAATCATAGCCTGTTTCTCACTCTATACTGGCAGAGGCGGCATGTTACCACCCTGAGTTGTCCCCTGAATCACACAACCAGTGCCATGCTGTTGGGGTGGAGAGTTTCATCCCTTTGGAAGGCAAGGCTGGAGTTCTGCAGTGCTGTGGTACCTGGGGATGTGTGGTGAGCAGCGAGGATCCCGAGACGTAAGAAACCTTCTCGTAGTGGGACTGTATGATCCAGTTGGAGCTGCCGAGCGCATAGCCGGAGCTGAGAGGAGAAACCTGCACCGCACCAAAAAGCTCCTGCAGGGAAGGGGAGAGGAGGAGAAACAACGCATGAAAACCATTCCAGAAAACAATTCCCCCCTGCACGATGGATTGATACAACAGAGGTATTGATTTCCAATAGCTTTGGAGACCCTCAATGGGCAGAAGAAACGTATCCGTGAGTGACAGATACCGGAAGACAGATGAGAGGAGAAAGCTGATCCCCTAAGGTCCAGCATGTCATTTTCCCAGAAATATCTAGCTGGTCAGAAAAGAGGATACTTTAGCCGTATCCTGTATAAGGCATCTTGCATCCTCAGCAGTATACTTAAAACTGCTTTTCTCTTTCCACAATGAACCCATTGCTTGCATTTAACATATCTATACCCTCAGCTCCTTGACTCCCATGTCTAAGACAGCTTACAGCATAAATTAAGGAGATACTGAAACTAGTTAGACTGAAAGAAGCAGAAGGAAAAACAAATCCGTTTTTCTTTAAATGCAGGACCACCAAACCGGTATGTCCCACACAAGTAAAAATGACAAGACTGAGGCTGCGCTCCTTCGGGCACATCACGAGATGGCTGGACTCCTAGGAGAAGGCAGTCGTGCTGGGGGACGTCAAAGGCAGATGAGGAGAAGGCAGGCCAAACAGGAGATGGAAGGACTCCACAAAGAAATTCTCAGACTTGGGACTGGAGGTCTCGGAGGGCTTTCACGCATGGGGCCGCCAAAGGCTGGGGACTTTTACGAGGGGCGGAAGGCCTCCCAGACCCAAGTCACAAGCTGGAGGAGAGAGGAGGGCTGCAGCTTTCTCCCAAGGCCCCCAAAGGGGATACTCACTATTTTCTGGGAGTACCCCACCAGCTGGACCCTGCTGAGTGCGGAGTTGACTTCTTGCATATTATAGCATCTCCGCCACGTTGCCACCTCGACGGCATCCTTGATGGGAGCAGGAAGCAGCCTGGACAAAGCAGATTCGATTAGGGTTACCAAAACATCGCAACTCTGGAGAAGCTTCCGGAGAAGCCAAATGCGGAGGAGGAAAAGCATGGGATGAGATCGGGCGTGTCAAAGCACCAGCGGGTCTCTCTACCCAATCCCTTTCCTAACCGTAGGGGCAGGAGAGATGAGAGATTTTGTGATATTTATGGTCTGCGTTGCCTCCCAGGTCCTTACCGCCAAGAGCAAGCCCCTAGCCCTGCTCATTTTATTCACGGAATCCTGAAAGACCGACTCGCTTGAAAGAACGAGAGGTCCAAGGAAAGTGAGTCGGAGCGGCGCCCTACCAGGGAGTGAGCCTGGGTCTTCCAAACCTTCATCTGCCAGGATCCAGACTGTCCAGACTGCAGGCTGCTAGCAAACACACCCCTTTCTCTCTTTCCCGCTCCTCTTCCTTCCCACCCAAAAGGTACTCAAAGAAGGGACAGACTGCTTTTGTCAGAGAGGTCAGCCAGCCACATACATTTGGAAATCGGGCTGTGGGCTACCTCTTGCCCGAGGGGTGTGATCTAACCACCAGATGTCTCTGCTTGCCCTCTCCATCAGCACAGGCTCTCACTGGTTCTTCTGAACCGCTTAGCGTCTCTCAGTAACATCAGCTGTGGCATCCTTCGCAGCTGCGTGGCTGGGATGGAGCTTAATGGCGTTCGATGTGGATAAGTGCAAGGTCTTGCACCTGGGGCATAGGAATAGGTGTCATAAGCACAGGTTACGTGACAAGTGGCTGGAGAGCAGCACTTCTGAAAGGGACCTCGGGGTGCTGGTTGACTGCAGGCTGAACATGAGCCAGCAGTGTGATGCGGTGGTCAAGAGGGTGAACGCCACCTTTGGTTGCATAGCCAGAAGTGTGGCTTCTAGATCAAGAGAGGTATTACTGCCCCTCTATGCAACTCTGGTGCGCCCGCAACTGGAGTATAGTGCTCAGTTTTGGGCCCCTCATTACAGGAAGGATATAGCCAGGTTGGAGTCAGTGCAGCGTAGGGCCACAAGGCTGGTGGCTGGTTTGCAGGGAATGCCATGTGAGGCGAGACGGAGGGAACTGGGTCTCTTCAGCCTGGAGAAGAGGAGACTCAGAGGGGGTCTGTTGGCGACATACAGGTATGTGAGGGGGTGTCACATGGAGGTGGGTAGAGACCTGTTCTTCCCTGCAGAGGAAGGCAGGATGTGCTCCAACAGAGCAAAGCTCAGGGAACCAAGGTTCCATTTAGATGCCAGGAAGCACTTCCTGCCAGTTAGGACCCCAAGGGTGTGGAATGGGCTTCCACGGGAGGTGGTTGAGGCCCCATCGGTGCAGGTGTTCAAGGACAGGCTGGACATGCACATGGGAGGCATGTCATGAGTGGAGCTGGCTGGAGCTGGGGGTCAGACTAGATGGCCTGGGAGGCCCCTTCTGACTTGCTCAGTTTCTATATTATTGGAAGAGCCCACAATAGTTTTGTCCATTCCCAGTTTTGGTCCAGAAGCTGGCCACCTACTTTGAATTTGACCTGCACCATCCTGTGCTCAGAGAGGTTTCTCACCGACAAAGCTGGTCCCTTTGAGGAGAGGGACTGGGCGAATGCCTTCTAATGGGAATTTTGCTTACTGGGATCACTGGAGATGTTGAGAGAGGGTTGTGGGCACTCTCACAGAACGAGCGTGGGCACATGGGCATCCCCGCTTGCCAGCTTGCAGTGAAAAGAATGCATTTTCCAAAATCCGAAGAAGCCGAATAAAAGTCAGGAGGGGCAGGAGCCAGAAAGAGCACGTTCTAGAGCTCAGCAGTCGAATTTGCATGCGGCACTCACACAGGAGCTGGACGGAAAGAGTCGCGCAAGAGGTATTTTGTTCCTTGGCAAAAACATTGTTTTAGACATTTTTATTTTTATTTCAGTTTGCAAAGGAAGTCGGAGAATGATATCCGAGAAGCTGTGAATGGCAGCATCACAGCACATAAAAAGAACGGTCATCTCCTGGGACATAAATCTCTTACAGTACCAGAAGCCCAGGCAGGAAGGCAAGGAGAGCTGCCAAAGAAGGGAAGAAGAATGGGGTTCTTATTTTGTATATTAAACAGATGCTAAATCAAAAGCTCATTCTAGCCCATTTTCAATGATATATGGAAATCGGTCAAGTTTTGCCGATCCATTTGTTTAAAAGGGGCTAATTTATGGGTGAAGCTGTTGGGTCGCTGACCTGTTCTGCCATAATTCAAGATACCAGAGAAAGCACTAAGGATTCAATCTGCCAAGTCCACCAGGAGCACTTAGCATGGGATGGCCACACACCGCTCTCTCCTTCCGCTTTGCACATGCAAATTCGACTTGGCACGCAGCTCTCTAGGCCATCCTTCCCAAACCAGTGGACGGGCAGGTGTGCACAAATACAGAAATAACACACTCCTAGCCAGAGGTGGTTTGCAGAGTATGGGGAACGGACAAGATGGAGGGGCTAGGAATCATGAACCCCAACCCCGTCTCAGGGCCCAAACAGACGATCTTGCAAGACGCAGCAAGTCGCTGCCTTTTTCCTTTGCTTGTGTTCTCGAGTGGATGCTGGAGGCACTGCTGGATCCTAGACAAAGTGGATCCTGGAGAAAGAGCGCTCGTGGCTTAACTCTCCACCCTGCTATGGGCCAGAGCTGGACTGAGGAACCTAGGCTGGCAGTGTCTATTTCAAAATAGTGGCATGTTAAGCAAAGTCCGTGGATTGCAACCAGGAAAATTTGGGTGCCTCATCTGGTTCAGACCCCTAGCAGCAGGGAGGGGGAACGTTAAAGCCCCCCCCCCCACCACCACCCTAGAGTCTCTACCACTATTATCCAGGGAGGCAGAGGAAGGGAGATGAGTCAGAGAGACTGCAAAACCCCAGCACTTTCTCCCCAGCTGACAGAATCCGGGCAGCTTCAAACCATGCCGAGGTCCTGACACAACTTGAACTGCTGGAGACTGAGAGAAAACAGGGGTGCCAGCTGGGAGAGAGAGCGATTCTAGCCTGAGGGCACCGTGCCACCGTGTTTATTCGGCAGCGAGGCCACCGCTGGCTTCAGCGAGGTCTTCTCCCAGGTAAGCCCCGAGTCCTTCTCGGTTATTCATCAGTGCTGGAGACGGCCTTCCGTGTGCCTGACATACCCTTAGTATAAATAGTTTTGATGACGCCGACAAACCTGGCCAGCTCACTGTTCGCCCTGACTCAGGACTGCTCATGAATAGAAACGGAGCACAATACAGACCGCTGCTGGATGCCGCCCCTGCTCATTTCCTCACATTGTGAAAATCTCTTGCTATTTTAACCGTTAATAGTATTTATTTATTTTATTCTTTGGCCAGGGCGACTTATTTTATACTGTTAATTTATATTATTTTAATGGAAGTTATTTATGTTTGTGAGCCGCCCCGAGGCTTCGGCGAATGGGGCGGCATAGAAATTTTCTAAATAAATAAATATTTGTACGCTTTGCTTCCCGCTCTCGAGTCGGATCCGGAGCGTAGGAGGACCAGTCCTCATATTCCAGTCTCCTCCAGTGCCTTTCAGCTGTGTCACGCTATTCCTCCCTCAATGATGGGACCAGTAGTCCGACACACCTGGAGAACACCAAGCTCATCATGCCCAGCACACAGCTGAACCTGGTACCAGCGTCTAAGAAAATGCCTTGATAGGATACAAGACTTGCAGTGAAGTCTGGGCCGTTCTTTTTCTTCATCACGCCTTATGAATGCAGTAATCTGAAATTAACTGTATCTTTAGGAAGATACACAATCGGGGGCATCAGCAAAGACGCCTGTTTGCAGAAACAACCCTCAAGTGCTGCGGATGAAGGTTGTGACCATGATGTCCAAACCCAAGATGATGGGGCTGTCTGTGAGTTTAACACACCCGGTTAAGCCATGGTCTAGGGACTGGGGACAGCTCTTCCACAGACGCACCCCAAGGAGAAATAGGAACTGATTCCACGTCACATGAGGGGGAGGAAGGGGAAGGGGTGTTGGCAAGGGGCCATGGCTGTAGGATCAGGAGGCCACCAGGAATAGCAAAGATGGAGAAGAGGGGATCTAGCTGTTAGCTAATCTTTCGGAGGGCAGCCAAGCCGGGCCTGCGGAGCCCACGGGAATGCAAGTTCCCAACGACGAGAATTAGGAGGCACGAACACAAGCCCCAAGGGTCAGGCAATGGGGGAGAGGCAATCCAGGGTCACATGGTATTCAAAGAGACTCTCAGCCCAGGAGAGGACCCTGTGCAAAGATCCACCACCACGAGGACGGGCCTTGGTAGCCCAGTACGCTTGAGAACAGTGGACTGCAGCACCCAGCTGCCGCCTCTCGACAACTCTTTGGCCTGGTGCTTCAACCTGGAAAACGGATTGAAATTTGCCAAGTACAATTCTATGCAACACCTGCCTGGATCTTTTCGTCTCTTTTAGCTGCAGGAGAATGCTTGCCTACCTGTTTGCGGTTTGCATCGTAACAGTAACGGAATAAAAAAAGGGCTTGAAAAATTTATTAGAAAGTGAGCTGGGGCAGGGCACTCCATGCATGGCTTGTTCTTGAATTCATCTGGAGTTGTTTTACTCACAAAAAACCCCAAGTTCCCAGTTTGCACCCCTATATATAATTAACCCATGAACCGACTGCTGTAACATCCTAGGCCCCGACTCTCTAGCCACCCCGGCGAACACGTAAGATTCTCCACTCTGCTCCCCATAGAATCACCCAACTGTTCAGACTGTGCCAGTGTCTGAGGCAGGAGAGGGAAGCAAGCAGATATAATATAAACTATCAAGATGCCGTTTGATTAAAAAAAATAAGACCCAGCAGCTGCAGCCGCCGCCACTCAATGGGGTTAGACGTCGCCAGCAATTAGCTCAGATTGCACAAGGTAATGGGGTACAACGCAGGCAGCTCCGATGTAGCACTTAGTATATTCCCAGGTTTAAAATGCTCCAGCGCTCTGTATAATAAAGATAACCATTTGGTTGCAGGAAAACTATTTAGGGCGGAAGCAACTGAGCTGAAAATGATAATGCTGTGAAGCAACACTTGAGGCTATCGTACGACGCAGAGGGAGGGGGTGTTGCACAAGCGTCACTGACAGACTGCCACAACAACCACGGTTAACTAAAAATAAAAGCAGAACTGATGGGACTGCTGTCCTCGGGTGTCTTTGCTTCGTTTGCCATCACTTGCTTTTTAAGCATCATCATCCGCAGGAAGAGGTTCCTTCATTACTCCGGGGTGCCGACTGTCAGGTCCTGGCAATCTGAACTCTCAGGCACTGAGGAGCTTCTTGGCTTTTTGCCTGATCTCCAAATCTTGCTCCTTCGGCTTGTACTTCGGCTTTGCCAACTTTCTTTTGGGAGAAGTCTGAGCCGGAGTAGGGCACCCCTGGCTTTTCTTTGCTACCACTGAGTACTTAAACCGCCATTTCTTTCTTCTGCCTTTTCTATCTGAAGAAAACTTTGTTGTTGCTTTTAGCATGTCTCCACTGATGCTCAGCTTTAGCCTTCCTGAAGCCACCTGTGTAATTTCATGACACCTGCCTGTGCTCTTCCTTTGTAGTCTGGCTTTCCTTCCACTTCCTTCCTTCCGCAGACTCCTCTCCAGTCTCGGCCTTCGTGCCTGAAGCACTTCCACACCTTCCATGGGTGCAGAGTGAGTCCCAGTTCTTCTGCTCCTAACTCTCATCCTTTTCCTGGGAGTTTCCCCTACTTCATTCCCCCTTGCCTGAAGATTCTCCTCTCCTGTCCTGGCTTGTTGTTGCCCTTCCAGCACCAGCGCCCAGTCTACCGTTGCAGAAACATCACTCTGTCTAAGAACTCTTCATTCTCTTGAGCGTGAACACTCGTTGCTACTGGATTCTCGCTTTTCTTGTCAAGAAGGCAACCAGCTTGGACTTGCTGCGTGTTGGCCACAAGGCAAAAAAAAAAGGCCATGCAGTGATAAGAGGCAAGTCTCTGTGCTATGGTGGTGGTCCACACCCCCCGCCCCAGTTAGCCAGAGCAAAATCTATTCTGCAGCATTAGCAAATGCTTCTAAGGCTCGATTCAGGTATACCAGCATTCCCTAACCTGGCTGGCTGGGAATTATGGGAATTGCAGCCTATCGGTAAGTGGCAGGCTGAGAAAGGCTGACCTCCCATCACACCATGTCGGGGAATTTAGATGCAAGATCGTGGAAACCTGCATACAAAGTTTTTAGTAATATAGCATGGATTATACACAGACTTCTCAGCTCTTAGACTTCTCAGCTCTAACTAGGAGTGTCTGCAGAGGGAGGAGAGCAGGAAATTGGAGAAACTTCCTGTCTTTGTGTTACTTCTGGAAGTTTGCTGTTCCTCCTTCCGCAGCTCCGCTTTGCCAGGAATTTTACAACGCGTCGTTTCACTGGGTTCAAAAGTTGCTTGCGCTCAGCAGCCGGTGCTCCGGCTGCATCCCATTGTGAATGCCGCAATGGGTTACTTGCAGAGCTGCCTTTACTGAGTGCTTGGAAACCAGCATTGGTTCCAGCGGATCCTGGAAGCGGCACGAAGAACATTCCTCAGCCGCATCGGAAAGAATTGAAGTGGCTCATGGTCCGTTTCCAAGCACAATTCCAAAGATGCTGGTGTTAATGTTTTAAATGCTTAGGATCTTGGGTACCTTAGGAGCATAGGAAGATGCCTTGCACCGAGTTGGAAGATCAGCTCATCCACCCCAGTATTGCCAACACGGACTGGCAGCAACGGCCCTTTGGGGGGAGCAGGCAGTGTTTCCAAAGCTGGATTGTCTTTTGCTGGAGAGCCGCACACGGCGCTGTCCAGGGTGCTGCTCGGACTTGGCCTTTGCCTGCTCTTGGCTCAGTCCTACTGGAAACCTGGGCTTTCCTTGCTTTCTTCGGAGCTGCTGGAACTTGGCCTCTGCTGCCGGGCTCTGCCATCCACTGCCTGGGCTGGGATCCCTTCCGGCTGGGACAACTACCTGGGACTCAACTTCAGGCGATCCCGCCTGAGCCCTGGGCCAAGCCATGGTCCTTGGGTTGTGTTGATCTGGCTTTGGAACTCCCTTCCGGGAAAGGCTCACCTGACACCACCTGAGAACCCCGCTGGCAGAGGAGCAGGGAGCTCCTGTAAGGGGGGCTGTGAGGCAGGGGATGCACTCCTCACAGAGACCCTCCGGATCGAGCGACCTGTGCTTGGGGCAGGGGGCAGCAATCCTTACCTTTGTGTTTCTTTATTCTTCCACAAGGAGGCAGACTGTGCCTTCGGCACCCGCTCAATGAAGTTAACCAGCTCTTCCATCAGAAGCCTGCAGATGGGAGCAACACCAGGAGAAAGTGCAGAGCTCAGCCACTGCGGAATAAATGGCCGAGCGTCTGCAGGTATCTACCCCTCCTCCCTATCCAACTCTCCCGGCCAGCCCAGGAGGAGGCCGTGCTGGATGCTTCTTCCCCGAGATGCCCCTTTTCTGCAGGCAGGAAGGCTGTTTTCCAGGTGTGGGTACGTCAGACAGCTGCTCATAAGCTGAACGTGACTCAGCAGTGGGAGCTGGTGGCCAAAAAGCAGATGGGATTCTAGAATGCCATGAAGGCAACTCAGAGTTTCCGAGTCATGGAAATTGGCCATTCTGCTTCATGCGGCACTATTTGGGCCTCATCCGGAGTACCGTTCCGGTCCTGGGCACCGGATTTTTGGACTAGACAGATGGAAATGGGATGGGAGCAGGGCACGGAAGATGGTCACAAGGGCGGCAAACAAGAATTGTCCTTGGCCTGGAGCACGGACAATGGGAGGGGAAGTGATGGCACCCCCCAAATACCTGCAGGAGCGTTTGGCAGGAGGCGGCACAGGTTGCTTCTCTGGCAGCCTGTGGGCAGGACTATTGACTGCACTTAAGTGACAGGAGGGTAGATTTGGGCTGAACACAAGGAGAAATGCCTTAACGGGAAAATCCCTTCCACAGTGCAATCCACTTCCTCAATTACCTCCTTGCCGGAGGTCTGTTGGGGATGTTCCGGATTTTCTGCGTGCCACAAGGGCCGGGTTAGATAACTTTCAAAACTTCCTCCAAATTCATGACCCTACGCTGCAAGCTTTACAACTCCAGCCTCAAGCAGCGCAGTTCAAGGTATCACGATTCCTGCCTTCCCCTTCAGTCTAGCAATTAGCACTCTGAGCAACTGGCATGCCCGGGGCACCACCAGAGCATCGCGGAGAGGGCCTTGCTCACCCAGGATGCCACCGGCTCCTGTGGGCACCCTCTCCAACGCTTCCCCCCTCGACCGCATTCATCAGGTGGGCCAACCTACATTTGCGAAGCGTGGAGTTAAAGATACACACACAAGTTGAGCCGCACAGTCTTCCTTGGCCCGCTTTCAACCTCGTCTTAAAAGGCTCTCAAGAACATTAGAAGCAACGCTTTCTTCCCCTGTCGTTCTTTTACACCTTCCCTTCTCCGCCGCCTTCCCTCAGCAGCGGATGGAAGGGGATCGGATACAACAACGCTAAGTGGATTTTCCTTACCTTCCAATTTGGACGGTTGGCTCCGTGGCATAGACTGTTCCGGTGAATCCCGTGTGCTCTGTGATGTACGGCAAGGCCATCATGCAGTGATAATTGGAGATCAGGATCACATCCACTGTAGACAAGTCTATCAGTTCCATCTGAAAATTAAGGTGAAGATCATCAGGAACCGAGGGGTAAAACTTCCGCCCTCCCTTTCTCCCAGTTCCATCTCCAAACAACATCTGGATTGCCTAAAAGAATTGGACATGGAGCACACCTGTACAGCAAGCAATGCCAGCCGGCAAACCACAATATTTTACACAAAGACAGAATATGCCTTTCTTGTATATGTGAACTATCCGGATGGTATAGAAATGTAGCAAACAATTAATTCTTCATTGTACCACACCATCTATGCATCTAAAACACATTCATTTGAATGCTGTTAATTTACAGTATTTGTGCACTGTCCAGTTACAGCCATCTCGGAGTGGCGGACAAGAAGAAAACATTGAAGTACAATAACCAATTGCAGTGATTACGAAAACAAAAAGAAGCACCATAACACTTTTCAGCAGCAGCAGAAAAAGCAGCATCATAAGGGCTTCACCTCAAGGACACAGTAACTCTGTGGATTAAAACTGCACGGACCTAAAAAGCCAGAAGAAATAGAAATATCTTCTGGCTTGAAGGCTGCATAAAGAAAGTGGGAAGAATATTTTGTAACTGCAGGAAGGACCTCTTCTCCAGGGGCCACCTGTGGCTTGACTTGGAGGTAGTGCCAAGAGAAAGGTGTCTGCAGATGATTTTCTGGTCTTACTTTCCAATATATGGGATGAGGAGATGTCTCAGGGAAATGGGCCCCAAGTTAGTAAAGGTTTGGAAGATCAAAACCAGCACAGAAATGGACTCATGGATAATAAGAGGGCTACTTTGGCCACCTAATGAGAAGGAAGGACTCACTGGAGAAGACCCTGATGCTGGGAACAATAGATGGCAAAAGGAGAAGGGGGCGGCAGAGGATGAGGTGGCTGGATGGGGTCACTGAAGCAGTTGGCGTGAGCTTGAGTGGACTCCGGGGGATGGTGGAGGACAGGAAGGCCTGGAGGAATGTTGTCCATGGGGTCGCGATGGGTCGGACGCGACTTCGCGACTAGCAACAACAACAACTTACAGATCGTTAGGTTTTTGTTAATTACCTTTCAGCCCTATTTGGACTAGCACAACAGTGGCCTCATATTCAGTGTGTCACAGTAATTAAAATGGGTGGGTTTCTATGGAGGAGTAACGATCAAATATATCTGAAGAAACGGACTGGTGAAATTCAGGAAAGATACAAGGAAGGGCTTGTTCCTACGGCACAGAGTTAAACTGTGGGATTTCCGCCATGAGACAAAATGGCAGCCACCCATTTGGATGGCTTTAGAAAGACAACATTGTGGAGGAGACCGATCAATCGCTACTTGTTCTGACGGCTGTATGCTACTTCCTGGATCAAGAGGCATGGCGCCCATGACCCCAGCTGCAGGGGAGCATGGGTGGCCGGATGCCGTTGCCCTCATGCCCTGCTTGTGGGTCTTCCGTGGATCAGGTCCAGCAGGGCTCTTCTGGTGTTGTTCTCCCTTCTGCAGAAGGGGACGGCAAGAGGAGATTGGGATGGTCTGCATGGTGGGCTCCACCTTCTGCTCAGGAGCTCCTCCAGGGTTCCTTGGTGCCCTGCCCCAAACAGCCAGATCAAACTCTGACCCGGCCGTACCCTGCTTCACCCCTTGGCCCTATGCAGGAGGCCAAGACTTTGAGAACCAAAGTGGCTAAACCCACAGGACATGACAGGGATTTGGAATCTCTGGTTCCTGCTGGGGACCTGGCCCACCTGTGTCCCTTGTCGTCCACAACAGGGACAGCAGGGGATGCGGACTGCGGGTACCCAGTGGGGCTGGTGCTGGGAGGAATTCGTTGAACCCTTTTCTCCAAGCTGGGAGAGGAACCTCATGTCTCTTTGAGTAGGAGAACGGAAAAGCAGGGGGCAATAGGTGGCATAAGGGGCAGATACAATCGAGATACGCTAAAGACTAGAATGGGGGCTTTTATAAAGATTTAACAGCATTTGATCAGGTGAAGCTTAAATCAGATGAGAAAATGATTAAAAGACTATATAACTTCTTACTAGATAGGAGAATGGAAGATGAACAGGTTAAAGAAACTATGATAACGTGGGCACAAAACTTTGGAGATAATATTGAATTAGAAAAATGGCAAAAGCTGTGGGAGAGAAATATTAAGATAACATTAGCAACTTCATATAAAGAAAACCTGTATAAAATGTTTTATAGATGGTGTCTGTCGCCAAATAGATTAGCCGTTTCCAAATATGTCAAATGGATGTTGGAAATGTAAACATAAACTGGGTACTTTCTATCATATGTGGTGGACTTGCGATAATGCGAAAAAGTATTGGATTAAAATACATAAATGGCTTGAGGAAATGTTACAAAAATCCTTAGCTTTTAAACCTGAAGTTTTCATATTAGGCATTATACCTGTTGATATTAGTAAACAAGAAATGTACTTGATTTTACATGTAATCACTGCGGCGAGGATTGCATTTGCTCAACACTGGAAAAGTGAAGAACCACACACTGACGAACTGATCCTAAAAAAGATCTTGGACTGTGCAGAAATGGACAGACTGACTTTGTCATTGAAGGAGAAAGAAGATACTGACTTCTATCAAACTTGGGACTCTTTTTATTATTGGCTAGAGAAACGGGGCTTCGCATAGATTTAAATAGGTTTTTAAGTTATAAATAGAAAAAAATGTGGGGGCTGACCCAGCAGGCCCGATGTGTCTGATGATTGATGTTGTTTTTAGTTTTCCTTTGTTTTAGGGTTATTTTGAATAAAACTTATTATAAAAAAAGGAAAAGCAGGGGCAATGAAGTGTACAGACACGACCACACCTGCTGACACGCTCTGGCCTGTAGCCTTGAGAAGACAAATCACGCCCACTTCCTAAATTGCTTCTGCAACCAGCAGGAATTACAAGCCAAGGCCCCAGGGATGGAATCGGAGGATGGCCTGCGTTTGTTCGGTCCAAAATCGTGTTCAGATTCAGAGCCAGAACTAAATGCGATGTCTTCAGATATTTCTCTGGATATAAGGGAGATACATAGGACGCATCAAGTTGAAAAAGAATCTTCTTCTTTTGATTTTCCATTCTATTATAGGAATTGCAATTAGAAGTATTTCCCGGTAGGGCTGTAACATGGGTGATGTCCATTTGGAAAACTTACCAGAAACCTAACCTCTAACTCAGTTATTATGGAGCAGCTAATGGGATTCAGCAGGCATCAAGAAGAACGCGATCTGGTCACGTGGGACAGCCATTGATTGGAAGGTTAAGGGTGGAGAAATGGGTCAACTTGGCTGCTCAAAGTGGAATGGCCTCCGGCAACCAATTCCTCACTCGGCTGTTTATTTGAGGGGAGGCAAATTGTGTAAAAGCAAGAGATAGCGACTTAACAAGAAATGGGAGCTGCACGGGGACAATCGAGGGAAGAAACGACCTTGTAGTTGTCCTGCTCCCTTTGATTGAAACAAAGGTGCACTCCTATGCAGGTGTGGACAGAAAAAGGTCCTACAGCTTCCAGCCGTCCATGGGCTTGGAGTTACACAATGCTTTTTCATTCAAGCCTGCACTGTACCATACAATGTGGAATCCTCTGCTAAGGTGCAGCAATGGTCAATAGATTATATAATATGAAAACAGGGACAGAAATAGAAACATAGAAACAGAGTGAGTCAGAAGGACCCTCCTGGGCCATCTAGTCTGACCCCTGGCTCCAGCCGGCTGCGCTCATGACATGCCCACCATGTGCACGTCCAGCCTGTCCTTGAACACCCGCACCACTGGGGCCTCAACAAGTCCACAAGTACAGAACTTTAGGAGCACAGCAAGAACTGTGCTGGATCGTGTCAAAGGCCCGTCAGTCTGCCATCTTGTTCCCACAGTGGCCAACTAGCTGTCCATGGGAAACCCACCAGGCTCTGGATGCAGGAACCCCTCCTACCCATGTTCCTCAGTAACTGGCATACATAGAGATTGCAGTCAGCATGGAACCAGCAGGGCTGGTAGCCACTGGCTACCCTCCATTCCAAGCATTTGTCGAATCCCCTGTAAAGCCACCCAGTTTGACAGTCCGCACAACACCTCGTGGCAATGGATTCCACTGCTGGACTATGTGCTTTACTGGGTCACCCCATGGGAGAACGATATCCCTGCCTACCTTCCCCATACCATCCATAATTTTGAGCGTCTCTATCCGATGCTTCCCTAAATCAAAAGGCTCCTGAAGTGGTAATCAGGCCACGTAAGGGAGTTCCATTTAGGGATTAAGGGACATGCTAAAAAAAGGTGTGGGGGTGAGGTCCTTGAGGGAGGCACCCTAACCTGAGACTACAAAAAGGGAGGAGATCTGGAAGAAGAGAAGGCTCAAAGTGGCTGGGGAAGATGGACTGGGTGCCCAACAGAACTGGAGGGTATCAGGTTGGAAGAGACCCGTGCAGTGGTTACGAGCATGATGTATGAGCCAGAGGGAAGTCCCTTTTCAAATCGCACTTCCACTCCCAACTCAAAGGAGCGTGTGACAAAGTCTTGCGTGGAAACTGTTTGCTGTTCCAGCTGGTCTGAGTCTTCCTATTCACAAATGAATGGCCACGTCCCCCCAGATCCTGTCTTTGGACCCCTGAGTCATGGCTCTGGGGTACCAGCTGGACTGGGGAAGGCCATGCTCTTGGCCTGAGGCCCACCCCTCCCTGCAGGGCTGTTGCTAAGGATCCCCAAGACAGTGCACGTGGGCTCCGTAGGGCGTCATAGAAGGGTGCCTGGTCCTCTCCCCCATTCCTGGATCTGCCGCTCACCAGCTGTTCTGCAGGCCAGCAGAAAGTCTGGCAAGGGGCAGAAGGGAGAGGGCAGAGACTAGGAGTGGAGAGGAGCAGCAGGAGAAAAGGGGTGGGTGGGAGAGAAAGAACCAGAGGCTGGGCGGGGGGCACAGAAGGGATGGGGCGGCAAGAGAAATAGTAAGGAGAGAAAGGGGATGGAGGAGAGGAATTGCATGAGCAGAAAGCGGGGGGGCGGGACAGAAACAACACCTTCCATTTCCCCCTCCATCTCAGCCTTTAAGTAGTTCTCGTCGCCCCTGCACCTTTTGATTCTCCAGGCTGCCACAGCTGCCACGAGGGGACTGGTCACTCCGTCAGTGGGAGCCACGTTGTGCTGGTGCCCACAGCAATTTTTCAAATCCCCAAGTGGGTCCACGGGGTCAAGAAGTCTGGAGACCTCCTGAGGGAGGCCAAGCAATTGTGAGGCTTGCTGAAAAGCAGCATGTAAAATTCTGAGCAGAATTATCTTATTCTGGAGTAAGCGCTTTCTCTCTTATGAGGCTTGAAATGAAGCAACGTTTCAGAAAAAAACATTACTTCTTGTAGTTCCACTGCCCCTTAAATTGAAAGAGGAGCCACAAGTGGTTTGAAAAGGGGATTGGAAAGTCCTCTGACTGTGGTGTTATTTCAGTAACTATTTCTCACTGTCAGAGCAATACGGCAGTGGAACCAGCTGCCCGGAGAGGTGGGGGGCTCTCCCACACTGGAGACATTCAAGAAGAAACTGGGCAGCCCTCTGAGTGGGATGGTGTAAACTGGTGTCCTGCAACAGCAATGGGTTGGACTTAATGGCCTTCATGGGCCCTTCCAACTCTACTATTCTATGATTCTTAAACTTTGGTGCCCAGAACTGGACACAGCATCAAACTGCAGATGGGGTTTAATCTAGGCAAGATCTCTCCTTGCTGATGCCAGAGTGTAGGACACAGAATAATCAGTTCAAGTTGCGACAACCCAGATTCATGCTGGACATCAGGAAAAGCTTCCTCATTGTCAGAGCAATACAGCAGAGGAACCAGCTGCCTGGAGAGGCGGGGGCTCTCCCACACTGGAGACATTAAGAAAACCTGGACAGTCACCTGAGTGGGTGGTGTCCTGCACCAGCAGGGGGTGGACCGAATGGCCTTCATGGCCCCTTCTAGCCTATGATTCTATAAGAGCCCATTGCATCCTCCTGTGAAATGTTTGTTTTTGCTCAAGCGAGGTGGTTGATCTGGGCCTTCTCTGGCTCCACTCGCCTCTAATGAGGTTCCTCTCAGATTGCATGATGGCTCTGAAGTTTCCTCCACTGGAGAACAACAGGCACAAGGAGGCGCTTGGGGACTCACCTCTGGCAGGCAGAACTCGGGGACGGAATCCACAAAGGCGTGGCCAGAACAGTCTTTCAGCTCCTGAGAGAGGGAGAGAGAGGAGACACTGAAGCAGAAGCAACAGGGGAACCCCAAGTCCAAGGTGATGGGAGTGGTGGACACAGCACCCCATCCTGGGTTCTCACTTGCGAGCAGTTTCGAGAGAGGACTGCTCGAGAATTCAGCCACTGAGGAATGTGCGAGGGAGGCAGGTGCGCAGAGGAGCCGGCAAGAGCCAAGCCAGCTTCCTTCCCAGGCCGAGAGCCAGAGGTGGCCACTGGGACCTGCTGGGGGCCGGTTAATGGCATGGGGTCCCCCCCCCCAAAGGATTTGCCCAGGGCTTACAAAGCCGGAAGCTGGACCAGTCGCCTGCCAGCCCCCTTGGGTCCACCTTCCTGTCCCTTCCGCTGGTGCCTCTTTCCCCCCAAGCCCTGTGCTTTCTTCTGCTCGTGTTTCAAGATGGAGGCTTGGTGAGTTTCGGGGTGTCCCCCCATTGTGAAAATCAGCAGGCCCCCCCAGCTGCGTTGCCTTCCTCTGTGCGACAGCCCACATAAGATTGACGCAGGACCTGGCTCCGATTTTGCCGAGTTTGAACAAATGAGCAATTACATCTAATGGCAAGGGGGCTCTTAACCTCATCACGAGGAGTTAAAAGGTGACTGATGCGTAAGCCAGATGAATTTCAATGCTCCCCCTGGACGTCACATGAGGCCACAAAGAGCCCCTTCTCCCGGCATGACGACCTGCCCACCCCGACCACAGATCCCGTCTTTGCACCGCACGGGTGGGCCCGTCTGTCATTCCGCGCAGATGCACCGGTCAATGCAGGGCAAGACCCTCTGCGGTGTGACTTGAGGCCCAGCCTGTCCGCCAGAAGCAGGGAATCCGAGGGACCCCGTTTGGCTGCTGCTGTTGCTTGGTGCAATGGCCAGCATTTAGCACACGCAGGGCTCGAGAAGCCTCGCCGCTCATCAGATGCACTGAACTACAACTCCCACAATTCCCAGCCACCATGGCCAATGGCTGCAAGACTTTGGTAGAGAACTGGAGACCTAAGTGGCATTTTGAGCAGCCCCTCTGGTGTGTTTGTTTATTAGATTTTCTGTCCCACCATTTGCCTTGTTCTTTTTAAAGAACGCATGGTCGCTCACAGCATTCACCTCCTCCAGCTAGCAGTCTTATCTCCCCAGCAACAACCCTGCAAGGTAGGCAGGGCTGAGAGTCTGGGACTGGCCCAAAGTCGCCCGGTGGGCTCCATGGCTGAGTGGGGATGAGAACCCGGCCTGCAGACCTGTGCGCTTAACCACCACACCACACTGGCTCTCTCTAAAGAGGCTGATCTTGCGGATGGTCAGGATATCAATAGGGAAAGAAAAATGTGAAGAACTGACCACATAGGAGGTTCCACGGACTGTGATTCCCACAGGAAGGAGTTCTGTGAGAGGCAAGTCTGCCTTTCGAAGAAGGTAATCTGCACTTGGCCAAAAAGCTCGGCACAAGGCAGAGGTGGGATCGGAGCCCCAAATGCCAAATCACCCCTTTACCCCCAAAGAGCACAACAAAATCTCGGTTTTGCAGAAGGCAAGCAAGTGATGCTCAGAGAAGCAGGCCAAGGAGCTGGACACCCTGTCCACACCCCAGCTCTGGCGAAACCCACACCAGTGGGTCTGGGCACTGCTGCGGGACCCAGAATGACACCCTGGTCTGCTTCTCCTGTCGGAGAAGAGCCTCTTCCTGGCATGGGGCTGCCGTCCCTCCAGTCATGACCTGAGCCTGACCTAAACCCTGGCTCTCCTTTTAAACAAGCTTTCCTCAAAAGGGGACCTTCCAGGCGTGATGGACCACCACGCCCATCACTCCTGGCCCAAATGGAAGACTGAACAACCATGTCGCAGGCCAAGAGGCAACGATGCTGAGGATCAGAAGGCCGTGTTGGGGCTGCTGGCCACTGAACTGGCACAGAACGGATATTTGGCAGGCATTTTCTGGAGTCTGCAAGGGCGAGCTTGCTCCAGGAGGCATGAATTAGGTTAAGTGGGACCTCATTGTGAGGCATCTGGGCACTGACAGGACGTGGCTCCAGAAGTCGTTAATCATCTGTTTCCCGAAAAGCTCATGGCACATCATTCTAATATGTAACCTTAAAGTCAACGTGAATGATGGCAGGAGTTCGTGGGACGTCGAAGTCGGAAAGAAATGTCTTCCGCTGCTGACATGGTGCTTGGAATAAATGGCCATAAACGTGTTGCAGAAGAGTCCCAGTAAGCTCCAGCTGTGGGCACATGCAGAGGGCACTAAATTAAGGAAGGGTGAAATAAATTATCCGGGATTATCTGCACCAGCTGAATGCTGTTAGGATATCTGTCTGTCTGTCTGTCTGTCAGTCCAGCATAAGCAGTTAGAAATCGGGGAGTTTGAGGACAGATGCCACCAAACATGACTGGGGCGACATGATCCACTTTTGTATACGCAAAGCAAGATCACTCCTCATGACCACAAAATGGGAACCGATGGGAAGCGGGGCAGGAGTGGAGCTCCGACGGCCAACAGCTGGAGGGAACCACAAGTAGCCAGAACCCACAAGTGATGAACTAATCATTTAGATGCATTTTGCAAACACATATTACGTGACTGTACTTAGAAAACACACAGAAAGACCAGACGAAGCACCACCACCCTCTAAACGTAGGGTGGGAAAGCAGTGTTGTGGGTTTTTGGAACTGGAATATTCTCTTGAAAAATTCCGGAAAATTATCCAGTGCAATTTATGCTAATTTCTGTAGTGTCGTTTCTATGGGAAAATGTTCCATCTGTGTCAGAAAATCACTCGAGAGTGATCTAATTTAGAATGTTTACTAATTACAAGTAAAACAAACAACAAAACCGAAAAAGCGCCACATGCCAATTTTGGTCTGCATACACACATACGTGAACTGAAATACTTGACGGGAAAAAGCAACACTTTGGGGGAACCTCGTTGGCCTGCAGCCCTCCAGGCCAGAGCAGGGAAAAGGGGCACCGGCAAAATTCTACCCTCCCTCACCCACTGCTGTGCAAATCAGCCAAGACGGTTTTCGGTGTCTAGTTGAGGCCCTTGGGAAAGAAAGAAGCTGCAGTACGTTTCTTGGTCTCCTCCCTTCCTCACCCTCAAAGCACCCTTTTCCGAGGTCGCTTTTCCAACCTCAGAGAAGCAGCCCGTCTTCCAGAGCTAGCTGTGAGTTGCTGGGATGGGGATCCAAGCATGGGTCCCCAGCTCTGAGTTGGAGGTGCTGTTCCTCACCTTTTTGAACTGGGGAATCCAGTAAAAGCCAGAGCTAGACTGGGACTTGGGAGATGGGGGTTCAAGTCCCCGCTCAGCCATGACGCTGCCTGGGTGACTTCAGGCCACTCACAGACTAATCTACCTCTAGGGTTTTTGTGAGGAGGAGAAAATAGAGAGGGGGCACCCTTATAAGCCATCTCACAGGAGGGAGGGAGGTGGGGTATAAAGGTATCAACGATGATGCTGTGTGTGGGTCATACATTTGCAATGTCCGAAGTTGTACTACGTAGACATTCCACTGGAAGAGTTTTAAAAATGTAAAGACAAGTGCTTCCATTAGATTGTTTGAATGGAAAAGGAAAAAGAAACAGAAGAGGAGGTGTCACACGGAGGTGGGTAGAGACTGGTTCTCCCCTGCAGAGGAAGGCAGGGCGCACTCCAATGGAGCCAAGCTCAGGGAATCGAGGTGCAATTTGGATGCCAGGAAGCACTTCCTGCCAGTCAGGACCCCGAGGGTGTGGAATGGGATTCCCCGGGAGGTGGCTGAGGCCCCATAAATGAGGGTGTTCAAAGATAGGCTGGACATGCACATGGTGGGCATGCCATGAGCAGAGCAGGCTGGAGCTGGGGGTCAGACTAGATGACCCAGGAGACCCCTGCTGACTTGCTCCGTTTGTATGCACTGAAAACTGTTTTGGCCTTCCCCAGCTTAGCTCTATCTAGATTCATTGAACTACAGTTCCCAGTACCCTTCAGTCAGCAGCTTGGAGGGCAGTAGTTTGGGGAAAGCTGCACTGACTGATTTTGGCAACCCAGGAAACTGGTCATGGGAGGCCGGGCATCTTCCGTTTGACGGTCACTACGCCTTGGTTTCGTTTCATGCTGAGCTATATCTATGCATTTCAGTGATGTATGTGTACTCCTTCACACACCTGCTAGGGATAATCACCTGAAAAACATTAATTATAACTTTGAAACAGCTGGGCTTGCCTAATATTGGATTTACAATTGGCATCCATTCATTGATACTAATTAATTTGTGAAATGGAAAACATTTATGTGGAAAGAAAAACCATTGGAAAGTTTTTCCACCCCGCATCACTGTAATGTGTTTATGAATTAATATGATTGATTCGCCCATGGAATCTTTTGCACGGTGCATCTCGCATAAGTATATTAAACTATAATATGTTGTGTACTTTTGGGAGCATTGAGGCAGGGATGTATTTCAGGGAGCAGGGATCAGAAAGATATCTTCACATTATGGAGCAAGTGCCACAAAATAAACATTTTACCTTTTTTGGGGGGGGGGCACTGGAGGAAAGAAGTTTTTGATGGACAAGAGTTTTATCTGTGTGAGCTGTATTGTTTGGGGGGGGGGACTCTTGAGTGATACATCAGTGGGGACCACCCCCTCTCACACCCCTTCTGCTCCCCCACTGATCAGAATGCCATGGGGTGCAATAGAGCCCTTTAACTGCAACCTGGCCCATTATCCCCATGCCCAGCTGCTCCCTGCTGGTCAGTTCAGCAGTGAGTCAGAGGATGGAGGGAGGTGCCTGGAAGAGCATTTTCCACATTCAAAGCACTCTTTGCTCCCTGGGGGGCAGCCTCCCCCCCCCTTGGCAGAACGGTCTCGGCCCAAGCCTCCCCGAGACTCTGCTGGCCCTGCGTGGCCCCCCGGCCAGCCCTTCCTGTCTCAGACAAGGGGAAAGGCCACGGCACCACTGGAGCGGCTCTCAGGAGACAAGATCCAGCGCTCCCGTCGTGTGGCCGCGTGGACACTCCCCCTGGGTTGTTGCAAAAAGCTGGATGGTCTTCCAGCTATTCAAAACTAGAGATTATTAATGCAAGTGTGCCAACCACGGTCACCTCTAACAGGGTTTGCTGCAAAGGCAAATGGATGGTAGACGTCTCGAGATATATTTGAAATCCTCAATGCAAATTATCTGCCCTGAACATTCAGTTACTTCTGGCAACAGGCCCACTTCCCCGTCTTCTCTGGATAAATAAAATCAGCAGGGAGTCAATATTGCTGGCCAATTAGCTAGGTTTAGTGGGGCTCCCAATCCCATCTGTACGTTACCTTCTCTAGGAAAGTGCTTCCGTCTTTTAAGACCCAGCCTGGGAGCTTGGATAGCCTTGGACTGCAGGAAAGACAGAAGCAACATTAATGGATTTCATGATGAAATCAACACCCATTTCAGAGTCCTGAGTTTAAATCATTGATGCTACGTACGTTTTGCAGCCACAGCGCAGCTAAGGATCTAAATAAATCCTGGCTTTATTAGAGATCTCCAACCTGGCGCTAGAGCTCTCGTCCTGCTAGACCACCCAAGAATATAGACATGGACTAGGAGCTGGTACCAGAAGTCAAGCCAACCAACACTTCCTTCTGGAACTGACCAGGTGGGAAACTGCAGAGTTACCTGGATTCTCTCACTCGCAAGAACACACATCTGGGTGATGAAGGCTGCTTGAGTCCAGGCCTCAAACAGGCCTAGAAAACATATTTTGCTTATTCCGTGAATATTTTATTTGCACTTATTACATTTCTACCCTACCCGATACTCAAAGCTCCCTGGGTGGGTTACAATTAAAACTGAATGCCTAAAATACAATAAAAGGTAATATAAAACCCATTAAAAATAAAGCTTAAAAGAGAGCACAGAGTAAAAGCTAGGAGAGGGGGAAATTTTAAAAGCACAACGACACACATTTAAAATATAATGGAGGAAATAGAACATGTCAGAGGATTACAAAGTGCTTTTACCTGGTGCCAAAGGGATCGTAATGCAGCAAGCAGGTGTGTTCCAATGAGGAAGACATTCTCCAACCATGGGGGCCACCATGGATAGGGCTGTGCACCCACCTGCCTCCCCTCTCTCTGAGGGGACCCTAACGAAGGGCCCTTGGAGATCATTTTAGGGTCAGGACAGGAGATGATACTTCACCCCCAAGAGCTTTAGGGCTTTAAAAGTTTATTTTGGCACTTTGATCGAGCCCAAAAATGGACTGAAAGCCAGCAGAGCATTGGCATAATACGATCCCGTTGGCCAGTCCCCGTTTAATTGCTGTATGTTGAACTAACTAACTGAAGGTTCTAGAAGGTTTTACAAGGCAGCCCTGCATTCAACCACCGCGGTAATCCAAAAGAAAGATGAAGGATCCTCTCTAATGGTTCCTGGAGATAAGCTGCTGGCATCCCAAAAGCGGACTTTTGCGACAGGGTAATAATTGGTGTAATCTTCCCGGTCCCGAAAGTATTTTTGCAGGAGCTGCAGCTCAGTCTCCACCGGCTGGATGCAATTAATCAAACCGGGCAAGCAGATAGCGTTGGCTGGACCCCTCTGTGCACCTCGTTGGCGCCTCAGTCTGCAGCCATGCAAGGGCCAAAGGCTTCCTAAACCTCTGCAGAGGTCAGGCACAGAACGTTGAAGGTGGGTGCACGCCGGCTGCCTCGGCTGTCCGTGCACCAGTTGCTCACTTTCAGCTTAGCCCATCTTTTTGTAAGAGAGAAAATGAGCAAATCCCATATATATTTTGGGATGCATTAACAGAAGTATCACTTCCAAATCACAAGAAGTAGTAGTTCCCCTATACTCCTCACTAGTCAGGCCTCACCTGGAATACTGTGTCCAGTTCTGGGCACCAAGATTTAAGAAAGAGGCAGGTAAACTAGAAAGGGTCCAGAGGAGGGTGACAAAAATGATCCAGGGCTTGGAAACACTGCCCTGTGAGGAGAGACTGAGGGAACTGGGCATGTTCAGCCTTGAGAAGACTGAGGGGGGACATGGTATCCCTCTAGAAGTCCCTCCAAGGCTGTCACAAAGAGGAAGGTCAAGATCTCTTCATGCTGATGCCGGAGTGCAGGACATGGAATAACCCATTCAAGTTGTGACAACCCAGATTCAGGCTGGACATCAGGAAAAGCTTCCTCACTGTCAGAGCAACACAAGAGTGGAACCAGCTGCCTGGAGGGGTGCTGGGCTCTCCCACACTGGGGACATTCAAGGCGAACTGGGCAGCCACCTGAGCGGGATGGTGTAACTTGGTGTCCTGCAACAGCAGGGGTTGGACTCGGTGGCCTTCATGGCCCCTTCCAACTCTACTATTCTATGATTCTGTGATATCACCCTACACTCCATGGGAGACACAAATACAATTGGGATACAAATATGATCGATGAATGATTTTTTGTGAGAGGGAGTAGTCAGGGTCCTTGGGAACTTGGTGCCTGTTGCTGATAAGGACCAGATATTCTCCTCCCAGGTGTGCAAATGAAAAAGGACAACAGTTTGGGAGCAACATTTCCCAGGCCACGAAGCTCTTCCACAAATCCGTCCAAATCAAACAGCACTTGCTTATGGGCTTCTGAGACTGGCATGAAATGATGGATTAATCCCAAAGAGTTCAACCTGTCACATAAATTAAGCCAGCAAAATTGTTAACAGCCTTTCTGTGACTAGATTTTGGCACTTCTCCTTAGACTGGGCAAGCCGAGAGCAGACCGGTTTCCCAGAATGTCCGGCATCTTAAACAGGGGAGCCGTTTACCAAGGTGCTTGGGAAAATGAGTAGCCCCTTCTCCCCAGAGTGGACTCACAAATGTTACGCTAACTGTTGGCAGGAAGACTCACACACAGGAACGTGTGTCAGGAATATAGGAAGTTGCTTCATGCTGAGAAAGTGGACGGACATCTTTCCTGCACGTAGGGCTCATCCCATAAAAGGGAGGAGTAGGCAATTCAGGAAAGCTCGGGGTGCTGGGGCGGGGGGGGGCGGGCTTCTTCACACTGCCCAGAGTTAAACTATGGAATCTTCCCCAAAGGATGCAGGGATGGCCCCAATGTAGGTGGCCTTAACAGGGGACTGGACAAATGCATGGGAAAAACTATCCATGGCTTCTAGTCCTCATGGTTCTATGCTCCTTCCAGTATCAGAGGCCATGTACAGAGGGGGCTGCTGTAGACATGCCCTGCTTGTGGGTGTCCACTGTGATGAATATGAATTGAATGATGACCAAGATGTACCTTGGCCTGATCCAGCGGGACTCTTACGCTCTTCAGTTCATCTAGCTCAGTACTCCCCGCACTGGCTGGGAGCGGCGTCCTGGTTTTCAGGCACAAGGCTTCCCAGTCCTACCCAGGGAATGCGCCCGGGATTCTCAACATACAAAGCAGCTGCTGCATCTGTGTGTCCCCCAACCCTTGGCTGCAGTTGGCCTCAGGACCTCCAGCACTCAGTCTGGGTGCGGCAATGTCACAATCGCAAGAGGCAGTGAGCCTCTGGGGCCGTCCTTTTCATCCGCTGCCCCACAGCTGAGTCCCACTGCGTGGCACAGCAAGAAATGGAACGCAAGGGATGGCTGGATCAGCAGGGGAGGGCAGGGGGTCCAGCAGGGGGCGGCCGGCTCTGCCCCCAACAGCCCCAGTTGAGCGTGGCTCAGGGAAACAGGGGACCAAGCCAGCCGTCTCCAGCCTGAGGCCCTGCAGATGTGTGGGGCTACAGCCTGGTCACACTGGCTGGGAAAGAAGCGCTACTCAATTCCTTGCATCAGGAGATGCTGGGGGTTGAACTGTGGATCTTCCGTTTAGTTATTTATTTAAAACATTTGTACGCCACCCAGTTGTGCCACAGCAGCTCTGGGCAGCTCACAACAGGAGAGAAAAACACAAGAAAACATAATAAAAACCACAAACATATTACACATTAAAACAACAATACAGTAAAACGTACAAAACAAAGGTCTGCCAAAGCAAACAAAGATTCAAAACAAAGGCACATGCCCAGGCATGGAGCTGCAGCCAGGAAGAGGAGAGAAGGCCACCTGAGCCGGTGCTCCAGAGGAAGCAAAATCCATGTGCCTTCCCATAGTGATGGGTGCCGTGGACTCAGCGGAAAATGCGGGTTCTCATAGCCCATCTCCTTAATGCATGCCTATGAAATGAATATCCTGCCTTTTTTCCTTCCAGGGAACACAAAGCAGCTGACATACTTTCCCTCCTCCTCTCAATCTTATCCTCCCAACAACAGCCCTGTGAGGTAGGCTGGGCTGAGGCTCTGCATTTATGTATTCGTCCCATCGACAGCCCGCCATTCGGGAGCTCCGGGCACTGGCCAAACCCAGACCTGCCCCTCTTGCTGAAGCCTTTGGCTCGTGCCTCAGCGGATCCCTTGAGGGCCAGCTGTGCTTGCTTTCTCTGAAAAAGGCCCTTACCAAGCTGGTGTGCGGGACTAAATCTCTTCCCATGCCCAGCAAAGGCTTCCCGCGGGCCAGGAACTGGCGCTCCTGGCAGGCCCTGCTTCTGACAGTGCGAAGCAGCCCACCGGAGGGGCGGGTGGGGCGCAGCGTGGGGCGGAAGTCTCTGCCACGCTTCCCTTGCTCTGGCTCTGCCTCCCCCGTTTATCTCCTCCCGCATGAACAAGCCACAAAGATGACAGATCTGTGACCTCACTTGTGCTGAGCTGCTGCTGCAGTGCTTTACTGAAGCTTAGAATAAATTATCTGGAAAACCGAATCGATAAATCCATAAAACGCTTTCCGTCTACTGAGCCAAAGGACGTTATTTTGATAAAGAGAATTTTTAAGTGGACAAAGTCTATTTGTGCTATTGGATGAAACTGCGTCTTCACGGGAGACCTCCTCTGCTGGAACCCACCCCGGGCTCCTCCGACAACACGGCCACTCCCGCACCTGAATTTCTTGCCCCCCAAAGGCAGCCTATGACACAGAAAGCGGAAGCTGAGGTCGTACGTGAAATGACATACCTCTGGACCAAAGGCAGAGGGAGAAAGTTGAGTGTAGAGGTCATATCCAGCCCGCAGTCTAACATGATGGTGGTGGATTTGAACTTGAGGATGTTGCATGGCAGGGTCGGATGCCCGGACAAGCAGTACTGAAAGGGCGAGAGGGGACTGAATGAATAACTAGCGTGAGGCAAAGGGAAAAATGGGATTCCCAGGCACAGAAGCCGTACTACTCCGCTGTCCAAGCATCCCCACCAGATACGATCACCCCTGAGCGGCTCCAGGTTAGGACAGGCTCTTGCCCCTTCCGCTTGACCGTGATGTTCTGGCCCCATTTCATGCTGAGCAACCCTAAGAAATCGGTACGCTAAGCCCAGGTCGACTTATAAGGCGGCTTGATGGAGAAGACAAGCAAATTACTCCAGGGAGCCAGCATCTCAAAGGGGTTACAGTGTGGACAAGCCTGCTGAGAAGCTGTGGATGGTCAGTGAAGTCCCTCGAAGATGTCTGGTGCCCCGACCCAAAGGGAAGTGGCTAGTCTTTCTAGACTGCTTTTGGGAAAGGGGCTGGCAGAGCCTAGATGGTGGGAAACTACCTGTTTACCTCGTTGCAAGCTCAAATGGGCACCATATGCAGCTCCCCACCATTGTGCTCTATGGGACATGAAGTTTCCGTCCCTCCTTAGCCGGCCCCAAGTCATATGACCTGAGGCTCTCCATCAATGTCGGTCAGGATTCTCATAACATACTATTGCATAAGCCAATTAACTGGGCGTAGAACAAGGCATAAGCTCATTAAGCTAATCATAACACCAAGCAGAAGCTCATTAACTGGTCTGATAAGGTGGGAATCCCAGGCCAAAGACAGCTGCATGTTTAGTGTTTGATCATCTTCCACAGGACCAAAAAACAATACCTATTTTAATTGGGTAGGCGGTTGGGTTACTGTGCTGCCCACGCCTACTTTCAAAGGCAGAGACCCAGGCCTGGATTTTACAGCCCAGTCGTTATAGGGTTTGTGACATTTCACCCATGTGGAGGGAGCCCTAGAACCCAGGTTGCCCACGTCCCGGTCCTAACCACTACACCACACTGCCATGTAGACAAAATGCTGAAATCCGGCTTGCACTCGATGACCGAAACAGCTTGGAAATGGGGCATCTTCTCATCTAGCACATGAAACTATAAAGTGAATTCAGCTCACGATAAATAAACGCCAGTGCAACGCAACACAAGGGCGCAAGGAAAACCTGCACAACTTTGCTAGGAACTGCAAGAGTAAAATTTGCAGCGGCAGAAAGGGAATATTCATGTGATGGCAGCCTGCAGTTGCATCGGGCATGTAGCAGCCAAACCTTTAACAGGGATTGGCTAAAGCTGCTGTGATCTGCTGGAATTTTTGGCCACTCGTTTGGGGAACGAAGGACTGTCGTTCAGCTCCTAGCAGGAAAGGGAGAGTCGTCAGTTTGGCTGGCCTCAAAAACACTATGGGAAGAGGTCCCAAAGCGTAGCATATGGAAGCTAAAGGTCAGGAAACCCAAGAGACAAGGAAGCTGAAGGAAGGCCGAGCTGAATAGGAGAAGGCGCAGCGAAAGCTAGGTGGTATGTTGCCAAAAACTTTTGATTGGTGGGAGAAGCTAGGAAATACATGAGCGTTCTCTTTCAGCATTTGGGCAACGGGATGCTCAGGGATGCCCTCAAAGAGAAAAGTTCACGCAGCCACTTAAAGAGCTCCCGCTGCGTGTCTGGGCCATGTGCTGGTGCTAAGCGGCTAAGCATTACTCATTGTCCAAGATGGAAAAGCATTTTCAGCACTTAGCAGAGAGCTCTTGGAGCTCCCACAATGCCAACACGGAAGTGCCAAGAAGGGCAACTGAAAGGATCGAGGGGCTGGAACAACTCCATACAGGAGCCGTAAGAAAAGTTGTAAGAAAGCTTCCGAGAGATGGGACTATTCAGCTTAGCAAAAGGATGAGCCAGAGGAGACCAAAATCCTGCATGGTGTGGAGAAAGACGCATGGGAGACCTTTCTCTTCCGCTCTTATTTATTTATTTATTTATTTATTTATTAAAACATTTTTATGCCGCCCCATTCGCCGAAGCCTCGGGGCGGCTTACAACATAGATAAAACAAGTTAAAATCCATATAAAATAATCTTAATTAAAACTCACATTATAAAATAAGCCGCCCTGGCCAGATAAAATTCAATTGTATTTAGCATTTAAAATGTTGCTTAAATAAAAAGGTCTTAGCCTGGCGCCGAAAAACAAATAACGACGGCGCCAGGCGGACCTCTCTGGGGAGCGCATTCCATAACTTAGGCGCCACCGCTGAGAAAGCCCTTCTCCGAGTAGCCACCCTCCTAATTTCTCTCACGGAGGGCTCCCGGAGAAGGGCCTCTCCCGCCGATCTCAGGGGGCGACTGGGCAAATATGGATGTAAGCGCTCCTTCAGGTAACCAGGACCCAAGCCGTTTAGGGCTTTATAGGTCATTACCAACACCTTGAATTGGGCCCGGACTTCAATGGGGAGCCAGTGAAGCTGACGGAGAACTGGTGTCATGTGAACATAACGTCCAGTCCCCGTCAGCAGCCTGGCAGCTCTATTCTGAACCAATTGAAGTATCCGGACCGTCTTCAAGGGTAGCCCCACGTAGAGCGCGTTACAGAAGTCAAGACGGGAAGTCACCAGCGCATGAGTCACTGTTGCAAGGCAGTCGTACTCCAGGTAGGGGCGCAGCTGATGAATCAGCCGAAGCTGGAGGAAAGCGCTCCTCGCCGCTGTTGTCACCTGAGCTTCAAGTGAAAGCTCCGGGTCGAGGAGCACTCCCAAGCTGCGGACCTTGTCCCTAGGAGGGAGTGCAACCCCATTCAGGACAAGGTTCAGGTCACCTTCTCCGAAGCCCGAACCGCCAACCAACAGGACCTCCGTCTTGTCTGGATTGAGCTTCAGTTTATTGGCCCTCATCCAGCCCATTACCTCGGCCAGGCACCGGTTCAGTACAGCCACTGCCTCACCTGGATTGGTGGAAAACGAGAGGTAGAGCTGGGTATCATCAGCATACTGATGGGTCCGCAGCCCACACCTCCTGATGACCTCTCCCAGCGGTTTCATGTAGATATTGAACAGTAAAGGGGACAAAATGGAACCCTGCGGTACCCCATGGCAAAGCTGCCATGGCGCAGAGCCATAGTCCCCCAACACCACCTTCTGGAATCGGTCGTTGAGATAGGAGCGGAACCACCGCAAAGCGGTGCCTCCGACCCCCAATCCCGCCAGCCTATCCAGAAGGATACCATGGTCGATGGTATCGAAAGCCGCTGAGAGGTCCAGGAGAACCAACAGGGACGCACTCCCCCTGTCCTTCTCCCTGCACAGGTCATCGTACAGGGCGACCAAGGCAGATTCAGTACCGTACCCGGGTCTGAAGCCGGACTGAAATGGGTCCAGATAATCAGTTTCATCCAAGAGTGCTTGGAGTTGTCCTGCCACCACTCGCTCTAACACCTTGCCCAGAAACGGGATGTTGGCCACTGGTCTATAGTTAGCGGCCATCCCTGGATCCAGTGACGCCTTCTTCAGGACCGGTCGGACTACCGCCTCCTTTAAAGGAGCAGGCACCCGACCCTCCCTCAGAGAAGTGTTAACCACTTCCAAGATCCAGGTTCCAATCCCGTGCTTGGAATCCTTTATTAACCAAGACGGGCAAGGGTCCAGAAGGCAAGTGGTAGGACGTACTCGTCCAAGCACCTTGTCCACATCATCGGGCCGCAATAACTGAAATTCATCCAATAATTCTGGACCAGACGGTAGCGTTGGTGTCTCCCTTAAAACCTCTGAATCAATAGTGGAATCCAGCTCGTGACGAATCTGAGCGATTTTCTCCCTAAAATGCTCGGCAAAGTCGTCACAGCGGGCCTTTGAGGGTGGAATCAGCTCTTCCTTTGGCCCTGGGTGAACCAGGCCTTGCACCACTCGAAAGAGCTCCGCCGGACGGCATTGTGAGGAGGCAATGGAAGCGGAGAAGTGTCTCTTTTTCGCCGCCCTCACCGCCACAGCATAGGCCCGATAGTGGGCTCTTAAGTGTGTTCGGTCAGATTCATCACGTGATTTCCTCCACCTACGCTCTAGCCGTCTCCCAACCTGCTTCATTGCCCTCAATTCTGGAGTGTACCAAGGGGAAGAGCGGGCTCTGCCCGATGGGAGAGGACGCTTAGGAGCGATCGTGTCTACAGCCCTGGTCATCTCCCCATTCCACAGTTCAACCAGAGCCTCGACAGGAGCACCCGTCTTGTCAGCCGGAAACTCCCCCAGAGCCTTCAGGAATCCTTCTGGATCCATCCGGCTCCGGGGGCGGACCCACACAATCGGGTCTGCACCCTTGCAGAGGGAGATGTCGCTCTCGAGCACAAACCTCACTAGGAAGTGATCTGACCATGACAGGGGAGTCAAGCATAAATTCCTCACCCTCAGACCACCCTCTTCCTGCCCCGTCGAGAAAACCAGGTCCAGAGTGTGTCCACGTTCATGGGTCGGGCCGGTGACATGTTGAGACAGCCCCATGGCCGTCATGGAAGCCATGAAGTCCTGAGCCGCCCCGGTCAAACTAGCCTGATGCTAGAAGCCCAAAGAGTCATCCCAGGAAGCTGATGGGTGGGAAGTTCAGGACAGATTAAAGATGGGCACACAGCACAGAGCTGGACTATGCAATTCTGTAAACTATAAACTGAAGCTCAGTCCAGACAAGACGGAGGTCCTATTGGTGGGTGGTTCGGGCTTCAGGATGGGGGACTTGGGCCTTGTCCTAAATGGGGTAGCATTCCCTCTGAGGGACAGGGTTCGCAGCTTGGGAGTGCTCCTCGATCCTGAGCTGTCTCTAGAAGCTCAGGTGACAGTGGTGGCAAGGAGCGCCTTCCTTCAGCTTCGACTGATCCATCAGCTGCGCCCCTTCCTGGAGAACGACTGCCTGGCGACAGTGACACACGTATTGGTAACTTCCCGATTAGACTTCTGTAACGCGCTCTACATGGGGCTACCCTTGAAGACAGTCCGGATATTTCAATTGGTGCAAAATAGAGCTGCCAGGCTGCTGACGGGGACTGGATGTTGTTCTCATATAACCCCAGTTCTCCGTCAGCTCCACTGGCTC